AGTTACAATGACCGATAGAAAAGTATTTTAACATATATTACAACTACAGAGATGTATATACGTGGCGTACTCATGCATATTATGACGATAACAACTTTATACCGGTTTTTTTTTACTTCAACGGCCTGTATCTGTATCTGTCAACTCGGACATATATTCGTAAAAACTACTTTTTTTCTTAAAACGACCTAACGAATCACGTTCTGAAGTTTCGTACCGTAGTTAAGAAACACCCTGTATAATCAACTTATTGATGATAGTGTGGCGTAGTGTGATTTTGCTTTCTTTGCAGGAGGCTACTCACTTTCAATTTTTAAATTATCACTGTCCGATATATTTTTTATTCTCAATGATTTTAAAAAATTATTTATTTAGTAAAACACAGGTTATGTATATGTATACTGTATACACTGTAAGTATTCTGTATACACTATAAGTATCGAGCTCAGTGTGGCGAGGCACAGTCACTTGCGCAGTGCGACCCGTCGCCAAGACATGCGTCGCCAATCCAGCAATCGGTCTTACGTGCGGCTATAGATGTTTCACATCAAAACTTGTCCAGTCTCTGTTATGAGGGTTCCAACTTTCAAACCATCTTGTTGCCTCGTTTAGGAAAAATCAACCAATTCTTGATAATAATGTTTGAACATCAGACCGTCCCATTTCAATTTTAATAGCTTCTACTTGACTCACCCATTTGCTGGATTCATTATTTTCAGGTCTAAAATAGGACAAATCTACCTGTTCACTAGATCGATTTGACGTCAAAACTTCAACCAGTTCAGCTAAAAGTGTTCGAGTCGAATCTCCCTTGAAAGTCATTTCCATAATTATCCACAAACAGCAAAACAAAAAGAAAAATCCTAGTAGAGTATTTTTCGTTTGCGTAAAGCACCGTAACACATCACTGTTTTTCAATGTTCAAACATTCGCGAGTTCACTGTGAGCGTTAGGCACAATCTCACTAGTGGGACTTTGCGTCCCACTGGTGGCACTTTGAATGAACAATGGACCCCACTTTGAATAACACTTTTTATCCCCTTTCACATAAATTATCACATACAACGAGTAAACACGAGCGACTTCTGTATCCGAGCACGAAGAAACACATAATGAATTAATGATCTTCCTAATAATATTCCACTGAATCGTCCCAGCAAAAACCTTTCGATATCGCAATTATGATTCAACGTCTTAGCTTCCCATGACCGGCGACGGCTCGATAAAATATTTCTAATCGGGTGATTAATTCTTACACTGTCATATAGCGTGCAACCTGTCGCCAGGCCAGCAATTGGTTTTAGGTGTGGTTATAGATGTTTCACATGAAAAAAATGACAATTTGAGACATATTTTTCGGAGTCGTTATGAACAAAATAATTATTGATGGGAAACATCTATAGCCTCACGTAAAACCGGCTTGGCGACACACGCCGTGGCGACGGGTCTCCCTGCGCAAGAGACTGTGCTCTCGCCACACTTAGCTTGGATACCTATAATGTACACAATTGTGTTTACTACAGTACAAATAACCAGTGTTTTACTAAATGATTTTTTTTAAATCATTGAAAACAAAAATATACCTGACAAGTGATGATTTAGAAATTGAAAGTGAGCAGCCTCTTGCGAAGAAAGCGAAATCACACTATCAAGTCATCAGTAAGTAAATTATACAAGGTGTTTCCTAACTACGGTACGAAACTTTAGAAGGTGATTCGTTTGGTGGTCTTGAGAAAAAAAGTTTGTATGAACATATGTCCGGAGTTGCTTCGTTTCTCTTCTTCGTCAAATTAAAAAAAAAACGATATAAAATATCATAAATATCTTACACCGATTTGGTTGAATATTACAGTTATTAGAAGCAATAAGGCGATTATTTAGCTCTAACTAGATTGGAATTATTAGGACCAGTGAAGTCTCACCACAGCCAACAATATTGGGAAAACAGTACGCCACTGACTTGTTGTAGTTTTTTTTTTCGGTTGATCAACTAAAAACAACTTTTTCGATGCTGGTGTTTTCTTCATTTCTAGCTTCGTTTTCGAGAAACAAATTGAAGCCACTTTGCATATCATGAACACCTGCTTTGGAGACCAGCTGACAGTGATAGTGTGGTCATATCAGTGAAAGTCAGAGTTGTCAATTAGCAGTATTCCATCAGAAATAATTTTACCAACGCTGAAATGACTGGCATGCACTTTATTTATGAATTAGCAAATGGAAATGCGGAAGAAACACGGAGATTTACCAGGACAGGTAGCTTAACAGAGTAATTCCATGTGCTAAACAATTTAGAACGCTACGTGTAAGATTATGCGAAACTGGGAATTTTAATAAAAATGCAAGTGGTGGAAGACCAGAAACTAACAACGCATGAACTAGAAGAAGCTATACTCGATGCGATTGAAGAAGATCCTTCAAATAGTACCAGAAAGATTGCATTGCAGCTGGAACTCTGCCCAAAACCGTATAGACAGTTCTAAAAAGAAACCTCCTAAACCCATATCACATTCAGCGGGTCTAAGCTCTTCTGCCTCGGCATTTTCAGCCAAGATTGATGTTTTGCAGGTGGTTGATTCATGCGATGGCACACAATAATAATTTTTTACCAAATATTTCATTTACGGAAGAAGCAAATTTTTCACGAGAGGTTATTATGAGCTTTCACGATCACCATTTTTTGGGCCGACGAAAATCCCCACGTTATTAGAGAAAGTCATTTTCAGCAACAATTTTCGCTGAACGTTTGGGCAGGAATGATTGGTGACTACCTAATTAGCCCATTTTTTTTCTAACAGCAAGATTAACAGGTGAATCCTACACGGACTTTTGTTAGAAGTACCGGTACTTCTAAGACGCAACATGTGGTTTATGCACGACGGGGCTCCAGCTCATTTTAGTGTTCTTGCTCGTTCAGCATCTCGACATCACCTACCCTAATCGCTGGTGAACGTGCAGGACCTTAAAATTGGCCAGCTCGCAGACCTGATATGAGTCCTTTAGATTTCTATTTATGGGGTCATCTGAAGGCTCATGTACTTGAGAAATCGAATAATTGACAATTGCAATTTCATAAGAAATAATCCAGGTAATTTTGAACGTGTCAAACAATCAATGACAAATCGATTGCAGTCGTGTATTTTATCAGAAGGTGGACATTTTGTTCATTCACTTAAAGGTCTAAATTGTTTATTATTCATTTGTGGTTTTTATTTTATGATGTCCATGGATAGTTTTCAAAAGTGATTGTTTTTTCTCTAAAACAAAGCTTGATATGAAAACATAAACGACGAAAAAGTTGTTCGGGCTAAATAAGCGTCTCATTATTTCAAATAGCTGTAGCAAATTTCAACCAATTTTTATAGCATAGCCAGCAGACTACCGATAGGTCTGCTGCTACAAATGTATCTGAAATAGCAACTGTTCGTACTTCTCAAAACACAGACATTCCAATCAAAGACGAATCATTCAGTCAGACAACATCTCACCAAGCTGAAAAGGAACATGTCGCGCAAACATCTTCACAAACATCCTTGGAAAGCCGTCCTTGTTGTTCAAAGAGCCTATCTCCAAATATTGACACCATTTGCTCTTTTACTGTGTCACCAAAGGTTCTGATGCCTACTCCGCACAATGCAATCACGAACAGAACGGAAATAAAGCAACAGAGAAAAGAAAACGATTTGCGAGTGAGGCAAAAAAGAATGGGAAACAAGTTAAAAAGACAAAACGAGTTAAAACGATAAATGAAAATGAATATGAAGAGTCTTCTGACGAAGATAATGGCTTGAATACTATTTGCATTTTCTGCAATGAGGTATTCCAAAATTCCAAAGGCGAAGAAGGGTGGATAGAATGCCCTGAATGCGAAGGATAGGCCCATGACGCTTGCTGTGGAGCAGAGGAGACCGACGATTTCTTCATTTGTGACATGTGCCGTTATAAACGAAATAGTTGTTTTTCAGAAAAGTTTAATAACGTTCACTTCCGCATAGGATTTACATATGTACCCGGCTTTGCACTACCGGTAGGGTAGAACCGGGTGATCTGAGTTTTTTCTTTAATAATTATTAGAAGAAAAACTTTAACACTCATGACATTTTAATTTTATATATGGATGCGCCCATAATCAAAGGCTTTGTGTACAAATTTTCAGTTCTTTTAGCCACAAATTAAAGTTTCCACAAGCCATCAAACGTTATATACTCGGTTTCACCCTACCTTCCCCTAATATTTTTGAATTATGAATTGATTTTAATTTCATTTTTATGTAAAATAATGCACTAAAACACTTGAAGAATAAATTTCATAAAAACTGACAAAATTGTATTTCAAAATCAGCTGATAGCGAGTGGCTCAAGAATGTTTTTCTTATTTGTTATTAACAGGAATATCAAAAAATTAATTAATTAATTTCGGCTAAGATTCTTGAGTTTACTAGTATATTGAAGCCACATGAATTTTTTTTCATGTATATATTATTTCATGTATATATTCTTGAGTTTACTAGTATATTGAAGCCACATGAATTTTTTTTCATGTATATATTATTTCATGTATATATTCTTGAGTTTACTAGTATATTGAAGCCACATTAATTTTTTTTCATGTATATATAATTTTTATAAATATTTCAGTACCCAACAATCATCACAGGGGTCACAAAATATTATTATTGATGTTTCACATCTGCCATGCGTTCCGTGACAACTCACAATTATTTTTTCTGTAATGTAGCTAAGATTTAATAACAGCTCCTAAAATATTTCGGGATCCAGTTCCTTGGAAATTCCTCCTACATGCGCTACTGCATACACATTTTGAGAAAACTACAAATACATTTAAAAACGCTTTAGTCAATAATATCCTTCACAGTTCAAATAAAATTTTATGTAATAAAACTTGTTCATTCAATTATACTTGAGGATCTTTTTGAGTTATAACGATTGAAATTATGCATGATCTCATATTTTTTTAAACAGTGAAACTGTAATTTTTAGGTGGAACCGACTGTGCAGGAAATTTCCTCTTGCATATATGAAGTGAAAATGAGGTCCACAGATTGCAACATAAGACCATGTACATTCTGGTTGAATGACCAACTGATCGACTTGGGACCTTTGAGAGGGAAACAATTGGTTCATTCAAAAAACTTTACTTTTAGCATAGATGTATGCGATACAAATCCTGATTGTGGAAATTTTAAAGCATCGGTTTGTGACATAACTGACGAAAAAAATATTATACCATTATCGTTGACCTCAACGACTGAACACTTCAGGTATAACAAAGAATTGAGCCAAATTGAAAAGCATGGAAAATTCAAGGGAAAAATACCCGGAAGTGAGTAAATAAGTTTCCAGGTTTAAACCGCAACGCCCAATTAATTTCTCACGAGAATTAACATTTTTGTTCATCAGCCTTCTGACTAATTTTTTACAAAAGTCTTCCAAAAACACTGCAGTCTCATAGGTTTATTATTTACCATTTTTTCATGACTCCCATTACACCCATCTTGTTTTGTTACCTGTACTACTATGTACGATTCTTTTATCGGATTTATGTAATTGTTGCACTTGTTGCAGCAATTAACTGACAAAAATGGTGTATGGTTTTTGCAAATATCTCAAGAACTTTTTGACATTTTTCACATTTGAAAAAAGATTCGAAAAGAGGAGGAAGTTTCCTAAGAAATGTCCTACCTCTCGGAACTGTTAAAACCGGTATTTATAATTTTTACACAGGGTTGAAAATACGTTCTAAAACGGGTAATCTGTCTTGCACAATACACGCCAACTTTGGATCTTTGATGAAAAAATATGACTGTAACCAGTCATATTTATTGTTAAATCATCTGAAAATGGAACTTTTAACGGGTGATGATCAACTGTATTGCCAAACATGCGCCAAACTAACTGACTATTATAAGAAAACAAGTATAGCTGAGGCACCAGGCAATCTAATAATAACACTGATGATCTTCAAACATGACTCAACCTCTGACGGAAGCACCAAACACTTAAGAAGTTTCGAAATAGATGAACACTTCAATCCATCAGATCACTATTATAATCTTCATCTCTAATCTCTTCACCTATCATGAAATAATTGATGGATAAATACACCTAAAGTTCCACAATTCTTTGAGAAAAATTAAAAATCACTAAATTTTTTCAAAAACACCGTGCGTGCTTGTGTAAACTTTCATTGAACTGGGTTTCATTAATGTAATAATACAGTCTAGCTCGTCTAGTGTTTGTAAATCTTTTGCTGGAAAAATCCTCACTTGTTTACTTTGTAGTAAATGTTCAAGAGGTAGCAAAAACGTATGTTTTTGGGTATGTATCACTAGACAGCATAATGACATTAATGGCCTTTTTAATGGCACACCTTGTATATTATTTGGTTTCTTGAATCTCCCATGAATATTAACTTCTAATCTAAAGCATAAAATTCATTTCTGTTTAAAATCTGTTTTTCCGTTAATCAGCTGTCGCCCCCATACGAAAGACAACTCTCAGAAGTTGAGAAACTTGTGCGAGCTAAGGACTAACGAGGTCTTACCTTTTAACGTGTGATTCCTAACACGGTGGCAGAATCATCCCCGCTTCAACCAGATGAATTCTCTCGAGAAAAATTTCTGGTCGAGGCGGGAATCGAACACACGACCTTCCGATCGTGAGTCGGGCGCACTACCACCGCGGCCAATTCCACAACAATTCTAACATGATACATCAAATTCATATAGGGTGGTAAACATTTTAGAAAACAAATCCATGTACCCATTGCTTCTCTTGGCAATTACTCATAGTCTGGGTCAAAACATACCCACTAATTATGCATTAGTTGAGTAACAATTTTTGTTTACTTGAACAGGAACATTGCAAGTACGGTAATTGTTAAATAACTATTTTTGGAGGTCTCGGAATAGATTCTCGTTGGAAAAACAAAAATAGCTTTATTAATCATTGAAATCATTGTCATACAGTTGAGTTGAATAAAAAATGGACAGCAACGCTCTTTGTGTCCTTGGCTATTGTTTATATGGCCTTTTTCTGGCATCTAAAAACGAATAACCCCAAATCAGAATACTATACGAAATAACTGGGTGAAATAATTAAAGGATCTTTCAAGAGTCTTAAAGCTGATCACATTATTTAATCGTTTCAGAACAAATAAACAGTAGAAAGTTTGCTGGTCACAGTTTTGATATGATCAACCATCTCAATCTATTATCGATAATGAATTTTGAAAATTTAACGTTTTTAGTTGGATGAATATTGAAATTGGGGAATACAATTATATTTTGAGTTTCATTTTCATTCAAGATTAGCTAATTAGCAGCAAACGAATTATATGCTCTTTTGCTATATCTCATCATTAGTTATAAGCTGGTTAAGTATTTGCTAGAACACAAGTGAATATTTCATCTGCAAACAAAGTACCTACATTTTACTGTTTTTATGAAAATGCATCCGATCTCATGATTTTTTTTTCTCTGTATCTCATTCTTGTATAATAGCAATATCTAACTTCCTCATATCGTTCATAAGAAAGATCAAGGACTTATTACTTGCTATAGGTAGGCCCATACTTCTCCTATTAAGAGTCAAAAGAGTGACTTCTAATACAGTTACCTACGAGAATGGGCTTGTCCTTATCTATAATGTCCCTTCATGGGTTCAAAGCTCTGGTAACCCAGAGGCTACAGTGATTCAAAAGTTTTGTCTATTTTAATGTCATGTGTTTTTGTAGCTCCATGTCTCAATACATATTTTATTTTACTGTGTCGTGGTGTATACTAATCAATAAAGTATTTTGTAATGTTAACATTGATGCTGTCAATTGTCACGTTTCGAAGTCTGTTCTTTGCCTTTGCGCAACCAAAACGATCTTTTTTTGGATCGGATCATCACGTGTGTTTTAAAATGGATTATGTACGACAACAGGAGACGTTCATGACACTGGTTGGACTTCGATGAGTCACCCAGGCACTTCCCGAAGCAAAAACTCTCCAAAAAAGACCATGGTCACTGTATGGTGGTCAGCGGCTGGTGTGATACACTATAACTTTCTTCAACAGGGCCAAACCATCACAACAGAGTCATATTGTGAGAAACACGACGAAATGTAACTAAAACTGCGTCAGCAGCAGCCGGTACTGGTCAGCAGAAGAGGTCCGATACTGCTAACATTCTTAGACAAAATAACCCTAATTTTAACGTCATTTGAGACAATTTATTGAAAATTATTATTTGTTTTTTAGTTGGTAGAAGTGTTTCAAAAATATTTGAGTTAACAATAAAATGCGACTGGAGATCGACTTCTAAAATTCATTATAAAGAAGTTCAAACTCAAGGAAAAACTTTCAAGTTTGAAATGGCTTCGCCTTATGCCTGCATTAAAGGACCACCAAACTGTGTAGTGAGTATTGACAGTATTTTTTTGTTTGAAAGTGGTTGACAATGTTTCGTGGTGTATTTCATCAGTTCGGACTTCCATTGTCTAATATAATATAAATTGATTTGAAAACCCTGAAAAAACAATTAAGAAATTAAAAAGATTAACCGAAAATAACAATTTTTTTAAACAAAAAACTGAAATTACAAAAAAATAACATAAAAGCAACAGCCAAACAAATAAAAATCGAAATATTAATATTTCAATATTAATAAAAATTGTTATTTTCCGTTAATCTTATTACTTTTTTAATTGTTTTTTCAGGGTTTTCAAATCAATTTATATCATATTAGACAATGGAAGTCCAAACTGATGAAAGACAGTATTTTTTGTTGTATTTTTTCTGAATTTTGTCAGACAGGATTATAAAGTGTTTTGTTTTATTACTTACAAAGTTTTATAAAGGATGTTGAACTTCTCAGGAAAAAAATTGAAATATCCGTTATCAGAACAATAAATGTAACTAGACAAGGGACAAACATCGTAAACAATTAGATAGTTATTTTTATTTTGTCTGGAAGACAGCTCTAAAAACAGTACTAAAAAGTTTTATTTTGATATGTCCTATCCAATACAAAATTAAATGTTACAAGAAACGTCATTGGCGTAAATTTTTTGTTTAATAATATTAGCTAAAGGTTGTCTCGAACCGTCACTGAATTCGATAATTTGTATTTAATCCGGGTCAAATGCCATTTTATCACTCAAAATTACGTTGCCAAATTTCACCAAAATCGAATAAGAAATATTTACTATATTCATAGGAAAAAAACTATTTTTTTTAGAAAAGTTTAACATTCTGTATCTTGAAAAGATACAGGATGCCAAGGCATATCATAGTGTGCCTTGGTAGGTAACAATAACTGCTCTTTTGTCTGTTGTTGTCAAAATAATATTTTCAGTAATTCATATCTTGTTTCTGTAATCATCTCAAATTTTGTAAAATAATTTCCGGGGAAGCTAGATTTTGGCTTTCTACTTCTCCATCTTCGTACAAAAAATGTTTGTGTCAAGTTACTTCTTTGCATGATCTACACATCTTTGTGGAGAATTTATTTTGAAATTAATAGCTTTCTTCCTTTCTTTGGAAGATTCTCACATTTTTTGTATGAAGATGAAGAATTTGAAAGCCAAAACTTTTTTTCACAAAAATAATCTCTCCTGAAAATATACCCTTTCAATTCAATACTTTCCGTGCTATAAAAATATTTTTTAATATTGTGAAAAAAAATAGTTTCCACTTTGTTCCCTACAAATCAAAAAAAATTTGTTTCAATGGAATAGTGAAAGAGCGTTTTTTCATTCATGAAAAATTCACCTCAATTCATTCCTTCCGCATTGATTAGTTTTTAAGTTATAATCACAATACTTCATAACCTTTCCAATAATGGCTATCCTCAAGTTTTTTGATTTCTTTTTATGAAAAAAAATTATTGAGTTTTGATTTTTCTTCTAACGGGTTTTTTCACTGCCTTTTTGCTCTATATCGTCTGAACAAACAAAAAGTTATAATCTTGTTATTTATTTGGATCGATCTTTTCAAAGATTTTAGAAAAGACTGATTGATAATCGATATGGGGCAATAATTCTCGATGTTAGTGCAATCGCCACCTTTCAATACCGGAATCAATATTGCGATTTTCAGAAGATCAGGGTAGCTTCCAAAAGAAATACTCAAGTTTATTAGGTGTGCAATTGATTCAGATATAATAAAAATACATTATTTTAATAAGTTCGATACAAACCTCATCAAACCCTATACTTTTTTTATTAGGTAGCGATTCCACAATATTTTTTACTTCTACCCCTGTGACTGGTAAGAAAAACGTTGTGTTCACCATTACTTTTTCACCTTTTCAATAATAGATATGCTCAAAGAATAGCCTTCGCTATCAAAATAATTACTAATACATCAATACAAAATACATCAAAATATATTGAACTTCATAGAAATTAATTTCCGTATGCCTTTGTATATTTCAATGAATTTGTCTAAGTTGAATATTTTGACAATTATTTCATGTTAAAAATGAAGTATTTGGTAATGTTTTTTCCAATTTTCATTATTTGTTTTGGTTTTGACAATTTTTCAAGAAATTAACACACTTTTAGCGTTGGACTACCCTGTAACTGTAAGAAATATCAACACTAATTATATGCATATCAAATGTCCAAATATGAGTCAAGCATTTTTTTGATTTAATCAGAATTTTCCATTCCGTTTTCAAAATATGTTATAAAAGTTAGTGGGCACATCTCAAATTCCCCACCCCGTATCTCCAAAACTGGTTATATGATTGAGTTGGACTCATGGATACTTATCAGATAAAATTTTGAAACATTTGACATTTTCCATATGAAAAGTGCGGGGTACTTTCACTTAATGATTTGAATCAATTTTTTGTTATTGAGAAATGAACGACATTTAAAGAAACTTTTTGAAACAATATTCTACATTTTTAGAATTTCTATAGAATCCATTTCATGATATTCTCTTTAGACAGGCTGAGGAAGAAATTGTATAGTAAAACAGGTCTTGGGGTTTTATAAAAATCTCACTTATAATACGTTATGGATTTTCATCAAGTGTCATTTGTAAAAATGATTAGTCATTTACGTAACATTTAAAGAAAGAATGTAAATATGATCCATTTTAAAACCTTTCTTGTAAGTAAGAGATAAAACACTATAAGTATGAGGTTATGGAAAAATAAAAGATACTATAGGTACATACAAAAATAAACCCCGAATAACCAAATTCAAAAGAATGTCTTTTGTATAGATAAACAGTGCATTTGTGATCATAAAGTATCTTAGCCAACTTCTTACAGCTGTCATGTGTTTTTGATTTTTCGCTTAAGCGCTCAAACATTTTTTGAAATAATATTGATATTTCATCCTCCTTTCAAATTTTTAATATTTCAGGTTCATGATAAATTTTATACATTCAACTTAACTAAACTTCATAATAGTTTGGATAATTGGAAGGTGCGTAATGTAAAGAAAGGGCAAATAGTTTTGAATATGTGTGGACCATTGCAACCAATGCAACCTGTTGAAAATAACTGTACAGGTGAGTTACCTTAAAAGTCTACCTTTGAAATTGATTAGGAAAATATTTATTAACTAAAGCAACTTGAAAAAGGAAAGATTTAAAAAACTACCGACAGGAACGAAGCCCATCATAGAAACAATATATGAACCACGGCCGGAGTCACGATGAAAGAGAACAACATTTGGACTGGTAGACCGTGGTCGAATGGAACCCTAAGTACCAAACGTTTCACCCGCTACTGCAGTGATTATTATCAGTGGCATTTCGGCCTTCGGCGATCACGACCTTCGGCGATCACGACCTTCCAGCCCCGATTTTGTTCTCTTCAACCAGAGGAGCATTCCATTTTGCTGAGTACAATCAGACTTCTTCGTCTGTTGTTGCATCGCTTTTAATAATGTTTACTGCAGTTCGTGGACGAAACGTTGGATATAAAAACCTGAATATCAAGGCCAACAAACCTAGAAAATAACTTCAACACAGTATCAGATCTGTGTCATGAATTTTCATTGCTTTCAAAGATACCAATAACATACTTATATACATCCCAAAGATGTATGCAGAGAAAAAAACTAAAAAAATATCGAAATTTTCTATCGACTCAAACTAGTCCTGCCAAAATAACTTTATTTCAACTTTTCCAAAAAACATTGGTTGTTGATAATAGGGAAATTAAAACTCAAAATGTGTTTTAAAAATATATAAACATGTTCGAAGATAATTTGTCAAATGTGAAAATAATATTCATCTAATTAATATTTTTTTACAAATACCTCTTCGAATGTTAGGGCAAATTGTATTTTTTTATACTTGGCTGGCAGCATATTGTGAATTATTACACCACTAGTACTATGTTGCTGTATCGCTGCTGTTCCAATGTTGTGACAGAATCAGAATCAACGAACTTGGGCGTGCGCAGCGTTATAGAACAGTGCTTTGAAAAAAAGTATTCTACAGCGCCATCTAGTGGTGAGTTACAGAAAAATTTGTAGCCTAAAAACCTTCTCTATGAAAAATCACTTATAAATGTCAAGTTTCATCACGATCGGTTGAGCATTGTAGAAGTTTCTCACTTACCAACCAACCAACAAACATCCATTTTTATATAGTAGATTCACCATTATGGAAGCTGCAATGTTTCCCAATTTTCGTTTTTGTTCTGCTGGGATGTAATTCCTGAAATATTCTTGTGTGATAATTATGAACGAAACGATTCTCAGTAAATTATTTATTGCTATATTTTCCATTTATGGTGGTGAGCGAATGAAGGAACAAATTGCCAATTTATGAAGTGAATCCAAATTAAGTGTTAAGTAAATTACCAATAAATGTTGGGGAACAAACTAAGCCGCGCAAAGTTTGGCATTACAGATCTGCTGAGTGGGAAGATCTTCAAGACCATTTCCGAAACTTCCCTGGCTAGATGTTTGTTTCAGTTCTGAAGATCCATCTATTTGTGCTTCTGAAGTCACAGATGTCACTCTATCATCCTATGGTTGCATATATTCTTAACTGCAAACCACGGTTTAACAAAAATTGTGAGCGAGCTGTCGCCTCAAAAAATCTCGTCTGCCGGCAGTGGCGCAAAATTCCCAGTGCTGAAAACCGAACTAGGTTTGTTAATGCTCACAACTGCAAACTCAGGATAAATGAAAGCAAACAACTTCACAATCAGAGAATTAGGGATTGAATGCTTGCCAATCCCAAAGGGTCTAGATCCTTCTGGTCGGTAGCTAAAGCTGTCAAGCAAAACTTTACAAAATCTATAATTCTACCATTAATACTCGCAAAGGAAATGAACTGAGACTACTTTACTCACGATTAGCCCTCGGGCAAGACTCGGCAAGCTATCAAGGAGTCTTATGTTATTATAACAAAGCAACTAGGTTACTAGGAAATATTGAAAATTACAATACATTCAAAAAAGCTTCAATATACCTTCTCCTAGAAAATGCCTTTTACAATGTTGAAGAATTTTTAGATTTGAATGTATAGGTAAGCTGCTTTTTATTCAGTTTATGTAACTAGTCTGATAAATATTATACCAGTAATGTATATGTTATATGTGTATGATATTTTAATGATTCTTCTATTCTAATACAAGCGGATGGTTCAATTGCAACACAACCATAGAAAAAGAAAATCTACTAGATGAACAATTAATTTGTGTCCCACTCCACAGTCGATTTTCTGGAAAAGGCACCACCCACTATTCCCACACTAGAATCCACAATGCCGGAAATTACTTTTCGACATCGTCCAATCAGGCGAATTTTGAAACAGTTCAATATCTACAAGGAGTGGCCATGATGTGTCCTTCATCGTACTTGAGAAGTGCGCAAATGAAATCGCACCAGAATTTTGCGGACTATTCAACCCGTCTTGTAAGAAAATCGTTTTTCCTTCTTGTTGGAAGATTGCTCGTGGAAAAAAATCTTCCAAACAACTACAGACCAGTAGCTTTGCTATCAGTGATATCAAAAATCATTGAGAAAGTCGTAAACCACCATATCCTCAAATATTTGGAAGGCTTCAACATCTTGAGCAATCTTCAATATGGCTTTCGGATACGACCTTCTATCGTATGTCACCCATATTTAGAATAACGCAATCGAGAAACATGGAGAATCAAGAGCTGTTGTGATTCAATAGATGTTATTATTATTCTGAGATATTTACAGTTTACAAACCTCATCAATGGCTTCCTCAGGCATGTTCATACGTGTTGAACACACCTATTATATAGCTCCATTGTTAGGTTTCCAGTGAATATTATGCAAAACCGCACTACGCTTTTCTCTAAACAGAAGCTTTCTCAGGTGTTTTCTTACGCGCCTGAGAAAGCTATTGCAAAGTTAAATACGTGTTGCAGTTTAGTAAACTCTTAGTGTAAACCCCACCTGAATAAGTTCTGGATTTTTCTCAAATAACAACCAATTCCATATCCTGAACAATTGTTTGTGTTCGTGTCATAAGATACTTACTGGCACGTGTATCAGAGCAGAGAATGTCTGAGAGAGGTTGCTGGATATAGGGTAAAGTTACTCATCATTCCTATAAATAGTCGAGGTTACTTCTGGTATCACCCCTGATATCCAACTTATCGGTGTTTAAAGGTGATGAAAAAGTATATAACTGCTTTCAGTATCAAATTTGAATAGTCAAAGTCCCAGCTCAAAATACATACAAGAAACATCTCAGAAGACCTGCAGCTCTCTGGAAGTTCATTATGGCAATATTGCATAATTTTGCCAAAAAGCACCGATCTGCTCGAAAATTTCGATTCTGATTCTATTTCAAAGTTGACCCTTTACAGGATGTTGCTTTCACTCTGGAGGTAAATGCCTTCCTTCTCGGAGATTAAGAATGTTTCTTTAGGAATAAGTCCTGTGGAATGGATATATTTTGTAATTTCAACCAACTTCAGTTCTACAAAAGTAGAAAAAATTGTGAGTTCAATTGCAGCAACAGCCATATAAAAAAATCTACCAGCTAAACAAGTTGCGTCACACTCCACAGTCGATTATCTGGGAAAGGTACCACCAACTATTCTCACACTAGAATCCACAATGCAGGAAATGACTTTTCGACAACGTCTAGTCAGGCGAATTCTGAAACAGCTCAATATCAACAAGGCGTCTGGTCCTGATGAAGTGCCCATCATCGTACTTGAAAAGTGCCCACCAATATTTTGCAGACTTTTGAACCTGTCTCACAAGAAAGGGGTTTTTCTTCTTGCTGGAAGATTTCTCGCGTTCACCCTATTCCCAAAAAGGGAAACCAAACTAACAAATCCTCAGATATTTGGAAGGCTTCACCATCTTGATCAATCATCAAAATGCGACCTTCTATCGTATCTCACCCATATTTAGAATAACGCAATCGAGAGACATGGAGAGTCAAAAGCTGTAGCGCTTGATATTTCTAAGGCCTTTGACCGTGTGTTGCATGAGGGTTTGCTGACCAAACTTCCCTGCAAGTGGCCGTCGACGGATATCTCTCGAATACTTTGACCATCAACGGTGGAAGTCATCTCGAATTTAGTCAGGTTGGAGCCTGGCATTAACCATCAACGCTGATGACGAAATTACTTGATAAAAATAGCTGCGTAAACGCAAGCGAAACATAAGTGGAACCACCTATTGGTGTGACACCCAAATCAACTTGCCAAGTTGACTTGGGTGTCACACATCTATTGGGTGTTACACATCTATTGGGTGTCACACCAATAGGTGGTTCCACTTATGTTTCGCTTGCGTTTACGCACCTATTTTTATCAAGTACTTTCTTGGTTTTTCTCATTTTGTCTACAGTCGAAAGGGTACGGGAAGAGATTTTCAACCTGATCAAAATCAAGATGGACTTCGTCGTCATTTTGTCTTCAATCGAGGACCGTGTCAACTCAAAAAATTGAAATTTGGGATAATGAAATTAATGCATGAATACACTATTTTGAAGTGGAATTGACAGATCAATGCCGAAATAATGTCACTCATACATCACAAAAAAGACTCTGGAAAAGATACAAAAGATCAAAAGCCACAGAAGATTACCAAGCTCATCAAAATTTCTGCCATCATCAATCAGATGAGACCTAATTTCTGCCAATAACTGATAAATGTTTCTTAAATCAAGTCTGACTCTATTAATAAGATTAAACATGTTACAAAACAGGTATATCTAATTTTGAATAGCATTTTTCAAGTTTTTATATTACATTCTGACCAAGTATATTTTATTTGTTAGTTATTTTTGTGTGTATGTTTTTTAATTTGTATTGTATTTTAATTATTTACGAATGTAAATCTTCTGTAATGTATATTAGTATGATGACACTGTAAGTGAAACATTGTAATATCTACTTCATTTACTTTATCTATGAAATATTGAACGTTCTTCATGACAATGAAGTATATGGTTAATTGATTGATGAAAAAAAAATCTATGTAATATTATTTTTTTATGTAATTTATTTTTTTCTATTCTGCAATAACTGAGACATCCACTGTCAGAGAACAATGACACTTAACTCAATCTCAATTCTCCATCCAAGAAGACAGCATCACGAAATGATCCATATAGTGGTGTCTCAGTCCTAGTATAGCATGAAAATATTTTTGATAGATTCAAGTCGGATATTAGAGTTCTTCCTATAAATAAGAATTTATTTATTATTTTTTCATTGTGAAATATCATGGATTTTCATCTAGTATTGACCAATTCCATCACATACTTCATCACCTTTTTTCAGGGTCGTTTTCCCAAGTGTGTGAAATAAACGAAAATGGATATATAAATAGGGGGAGCATCCAAACTGATCTTACTGTGGAAAATAATATAATAACAACAACATTTATAAGTGAGTTTTCAGTATCACTAAGTCACACAAAGAAAAATATGCATAGAAAATTATTGAGTTGAAGCACTAAAGAATTGTCTTTGTTAATTATTTATCGTTAAACTTTAAAATTTGTCTTTGAATTGTTTTGTGATCTTGTAAAAATTTTTTAAGGTGGTGACACTTGCAAAGGTGATGAAACATATAGCACTCATATTGAATTCAAATGTTCTGAAACAGAAGAGAATCCTTTTTTAAATACTGTTTTAAATAAAAGTGTTGACTGTAGAATATTTCTGGATTGGAATACACCTGCTGCCTGCCCTATTATTGTAAGTATCTGTTTATTGATCTCTATTTATGCCTTGGTGTTTCAACATGTTTGAAAACATTTGCTTTCGGAACAGTAAAAGAGTGACATTGCTGGACTAAACTGTCCCGAAAAAACAAGCCTGAGTAAGTAAAAGCAATGACATCACATTTTACGAAGACGCCATCTATAGGATCGACAGAAGATTCAATCCTTGCATATTACATATAAACGAAGCCCCTAAGCCAACGGTCGGCAACAGGCGGACCGCGAAAGGTCGAACCTCGGACCGGCAAATATTGTAATGTGTTATATACCAAGTATAAATTAATACGTAGATAAGGTATACTATACCTTTATCGATTATAGTAATTTTTTTAAGCCACATAGAATTCAACTTGTTGTGTACTTATTTTATTTCAAGTTGCCTAGTCAATCTGTTTCACAAGTACCTACAACTGATATAGTTTTATTAGTTTCTCATCTACCCTGTGTGTGTGTGTTTGTTTGTGCGCGCTTGCAACTGTTTTGTTTTGTTGAAACAAACGCGAGCGAGTATCGAAATCGGGTGTGCGGGCGTGTGAGCGGGAGAAAGCACACTCATTCATTTGTTTTGTGATTTTTCGCGTTTTCATAATATTTTCGTACCTATGCTCATATGGATCCTAAAAAGTGTAAAGTGGACAGTGAAAATAGGAGGTTTCTGGCAGAATGGACTGAACAATATTGTTTTACGCTGCCTGATAAGCCTCAAGCGGTTCCAGTGTGCCTTATATGCAATAGAACTTTCGCTATTGTTAAGAGTGGTAATTTGAAGCAACACTACGAAACCACTCATTAGCAATTTCACAAAAACTTTTCTATTGACAGTGAGGCTCGTAAAGAAAAACTTTATGCATATCTTAGTTCTTACAAACAAAGCACGAAATGACTAGTTCATTGCATGAGCGGGCAAGAAAAATCCACAGAAGAAGCGTTACGTGTGTACTGGACGCTTAATAAACATCAAAAACCCTTTTCAGATTCTGAAGGAATGTATGTTGGAAGTAGTCACGGTACTTTTTGGAAGAAAAAAAGATGTTGCATTTCAAAGTATTCCGTTATCAGCGTGAATTAATACACTAGATATCTGGATATCTTTGAAAAAGATATTGCAAGACAAGAATTGATTCATTTTCTGACAATTCTTGAATATAAAAAGAACTCTGAAGGAGACTTAGCCGCCGTGTTTATAAATTTTCTAGCCGATCTGAGGAACGAATTTGCTACAAGATTCCAAGACTTTGCAGAGATGGGCAAGCTATGCGTTTCCTAAATCGCCATTTGCAGTTGATGTAGCAGCAGAATCGACAGATGTGTTGTTCAATCTGTCGAACGCATCCCTTCAAATAGAGATAATTGATTTGCAAAAAGATGTAATGTATAAAACACTATCCACTGAAAAATTTTGGGCCGAAATGTCCCAGAAAAATATGAACATTGCAAGAAACTAGCTATAAATTTGGCCACTATGTTTGGTTCGACATACGTATGGGAAACATATTTTTGAAAAACAAATATCGTTCAAGATTAACGAACGCCCACCTAAAAGACACACTTCGAATTTGCTGTTCCTCTCGAGAACCAAACTGGCTCAAGATCATCAGTGTAATTTCTCACATTAATTTTAGGTCTTGTGTTTTGTAATTCAGAATTTAATTTGAAACCAACATGATACATAGGTAGCAGTTAATTCAGTTGTTTTTTTCTGGACCTCGTCAAAATTTTCTCACAGTATCCGGACCCCACCTAATACTACTTACCGACCCCTGCCCTAAGCTTTGACATCGACCGCGAATGAGATTCGTCTTTTTTTTTCACTGCAGCTCATACTGCATGCAACCAGAGCCAAAAAAAGTTATTGAGGTCCAACACCAGTCAGCCTAGCACCACTATGATACCTATGGCGGGTTAAAACAGCGCTGTCTGATGCTGGATCATGAATGCTTTTTGGGGGCTCCAGTTTCAGCTAGTTGCCTTGCAGTGAAAGACGGAGGATGGATCTCAGCGGTCGAACTAAAAACTTGACTTTGCAACAGTTCCCGTCGTTTAGCTTTGATATTCGTGGAATGGGCCTTCTGTCACTCCTATAGATGGCGGCTTCGTAAAGAGAGATGTCATCCCTTCATAGTAAAAAAGTTTCATTGTTTTTCTGCCCTGAAGAATTGAATTCTGAAAATACTTTAAATAATATCAGATAATGCTGAAAGATTCAAATACTACGGCTTACATTTAGGAGATATGTCCTTTAGTGAATTTATATATTCTTTCATTGATAGCATAAAAAATATATTATGGACACGAAAGATACATGTATGACAGGAATAATATATTCACACCATCAAACTCTCTCAAAGAGAGAACGTTGTAAATGACAGATGTGTCAAGATTATAGTCATCAGATTGAAAATTTCTCTTTGTCTAATGTCTAATACATATATAAAATAAAATATATTTTATCAAAGGTTCGAAAACTTATTGTTCAAAAACCATAATACAATACAAACAAGTATACCTATAACATATGCAAATAAGGCTAATCAACAAAGTAAGTTCTCCTTGGATATTTTAATACTTCATCAAAGTTTACATTAACTTTTATATAGCTTTAAAGTCCCGTGAAATTTATTCATTTAAATTCATTTTCATTAGCCCTTTTGTTGAGTTCTCATTTATTAATTTCAAATGTTTTACTATTCGTTTTAGGTTCAGTACCTACAATGTGTTTTTGAAAAGTTTCATGTAACAGTTACTTCTAGGTTATTTCATCAACCGCTTGAGTTTCTAATATTCTCTATGTCACTACTAATGTAGAATTATTACACAACAATGATATTTAATTTATATGTGTGTTAATATTATATAACAAGAGTTTATATCTGAATCTCAAATTCACTTGTTTTCACTGTACTCTTGCTAGCATATGGAAAACCTGAATTTCGTTAGTTCGGACTACCATTGTCCAATATGATATAAAATAATTTGAAATCCCTGAAAGAATCGATGAAATTAAAATGATTAGCTGAAAATAACAATTATATCAAGTAAAATAAAAACAAATGAAATTGCAATAAAACAAAATTAAAGCAACAATTGAAAATTGTACAACTAAATTTTTTTTAAGATTTCAAGCTAAGTTATTTCACGATGTTTTGGTTGTTAGTATCCACAATCGTCTTTGGGTGATGACTGGACTATTTAAAACCCAATTTTATAATTGGGTTTTATTGGGTTTATAATTGGGAAAACTATTACATGAAAACTATTTATATGATAAAACTATTAAAAAGTCTTCAAGTATTATATACTCTATTTTGAATATTTTTATTGAAATGTAATGAAACAAATGGGAATGATTTATAGTACTTTGTTTTTTCTCCAAAGGTGCAATGCCGGTATTAAAAAGTCTGATTCTATCAATATTTGAGTAATATCACTAAGGAAAAAGTACAAACTGTATGAATACAAAACACATACATATATACATATTATAAATGAAACATCACTTTTATCATTGTTTGAAATCATATAATTCATTTGAACAATTAAATCGTGTTTCTTCGACTTTAAAATTGGTAAACTCGTAAAAGTTTCAATAATTGTATTCCGAACAATTTTTATGTGTTGATCTTGTAAATTTTGTGGTGACAACTACATTTCATGTTTCATCCTTATTAGTTGATTGTTGAGATTGAAGTTTCCATATGACTTTCATTATGTATATTTTTACTTTTTTAAGAATAAAGAAAGCTGCAAGAATATTTCTCCTGTTTTTGTGAATACTACTCTAGAAACTACCGACAGAATTTATGACTTGAGTATGTTATACAAAAATAATAGTAAATATACTCTTGAAGATGAGGGGGTCGAGTATATGTTTAACATTGGAGGACCTCAAACACTGCTCAGAATCATCAAGACATTCTTGTTTTTCGTCAACATTGAGCTCGCGCGGCACTCACTTTGAACAGAGCTTTTTCATAGTCAAATGCTCATGCAGTATAAAGTTATGCAATACCTTTACAATGTCAGTTGACTCACTTTTCGATCATTCGAAACGATTTTGTGGTTTTTTTTTGTTTTCTGGTATTCTGCATCATTTGTGTCTCTACGACCACGTTTGAAGTCAGCAAACCAATGTTTTATTGTTGTTTCTGATGGAGCTTCGCTTGAATGATATTTTTTTATGAGTAGAATATCATGAAAGTTCAACAGCTGAAAAAGCGGTGAATGCAATAAATCTAGCGCCATCTATGTGTTAGGCCCGAGACTTGAAGTAGGTTTATTTCCTACCAGAGAAAAGATACAAAGAATAAGCTTGTAATCGTTATCTCAATTAGTCTCCTTTATACAGGCCTCTAAAATATTTCAGTGGCACTTTTTCTTCACAGGGTTAAATCTCTTGGTCAAATGAATCCTTTATATGAAAACGACAAAGGACAGCTGGTTGTAGAAACTGATGGTGGATATTATTCTATGGAAAATCAGAATTATTACAGAAGCACAATTTTCTTTGAATGTTGTAAAAAAAAATTTTGTGAGGTATGTATATTTTTTTTATCAGATAGCAACTAGATATAATGTCAAGAAAAAGGTATTAATAGATTCGAAAATCACTTCATATGACATCTCATTATTATGGACAAACTTTGGACTTTTTGTTGAAGGTAGATGTCTCATTCAATTGTTATGTCTTAATGGTGATCTGTAAGAGTTTTATTTAAACACAGCTATGAACTATGTTTTCCTTCAGGAACATTCTGTCTCTATTCTTCCATTAAGTTGGCCAATTAATATAAAACATTTTCATTCACAGCAAAACTCGGAAGGTAAGGTCTCTCTTATATCATTTACAACGATTTTTGACGTGCAGGTCAAATATGTGAATGATTTTATTCAAAAATAACTTGGTATTTAGTAACAGAGAAGGCGCATATACAGGGTACAGCACAATGACCGTCGGTTTGACCTATTTTTGGAAATAATTGGATTCATATCCTGAAAATTGCCAAAAATAGGTTTTGTGTATATTCATTATTGAATAAAAATAATGGCGTTTTTCCAATATCTCTAGATATACCAGAAGTTGGACTTCCGTAATTCAATCGTAACATCATGTATATTTTCACATGTTTGAATAACCGGCACAATTCCAATGTGAGTTTATGTAATACACCCTATACCAAAACGGAACCGTTCTCGAAATGTTCATTTGTCAACTCAAAGTAGGCTTTCGAGTGATTACCCCATACAATTCAAAAGTTTGATTCATCAAAATGCTTCGTTCCATATTTTCATATGAGTGACATTTNTAACCTCTTCATTCGAGCAAGTTTTTCCGCAATTTCGGCCTTCAAACGCTTCAATAACGCTATATAATATTTACTGTTGATGGTATTTACCTTCTCAAGATAGTCGATGAATATTACACCACGCACATCCCAAAATATTGAGGCCGTAAACTTTCCAGCCGATTGTTGTGCTTTCGGGCCCTTTGGACGAGGTTCACCAGTTGCTCTCCACTCAGATAACGATCCTTTTGAGTCCAGAGTGAAGTGGTGGATCCATGTTTCATCCATTGTCACATATCGACGCAAAAATTCCGGTTTGTTATGTTTAAATATGGCCAAACACTGCTCAGAATCATCAAGACATTCTTGTTTTTCGTCAACATTGAGCTCGCGCGGCACTCACTTTGAACAGAGCTTTTTCATAGTCAAATGCTCATGCAGTATAAAGTTATGCAATACCTTTACAATGTCAGTTGACTCACTTTTCGATCATTCGAAACGATTTTGTGGTTTTTTTTTGTTTTCTGGTATTCTGCATCATTTGTGTCTCTACGACCACGTTTGAAGTCAGCAAACCAATGTTTTATTGTTGTTTCTGATGGAGCTTCGCTTGAATGATATTTTTTTATGAGTAGAATATCATGAAAGTTCAACAGCTGAAAAAGCGGTGAATGCAATAAATCTAGCGCCATCTATGTGTTAGGCCCGAGACTTGAAGTAGGTTTATTTCCTGCCAGAGAAAAGATACAAAGAATAAGCTTGTAATCGTTATCTCAATTAGTCTCCTTTATACAGGCCTCTAAAATATTTCAATGGCACTTTTTCTTCACAGGGTTAAATCTCTTGGTCAAATGAATCCTTTATATGAAAACGACAAAGGACAGCTGGTTGTAGAAACTGATGGTGGATATTATTCTATGGAAAATCAGAATTATTACAGAAGCACAATTTTCTTTGAATGTTGTAAAAAAAAAATTTGTGAGGTATGTATATTTTTTTATCAGATAGCAACTAGATATAATGTCAAGAAAAAGGTATTAATAGATTCGAAAATCACTTCATATGACATCTCATTATTATGGACAAACTTTGGAAATTTTGTTGAAGGTAGATGTCTCATTCAATTGTTATGTCTTAATGGTGATCTGTAAGAGTTTTATTTAAACACAGCTATGAACTATGTTTTCCTTCAGGAACATTCTGTCTCTATTCTTCCATTAAGTTGGCCAATTAATATAAAACATTTTCATTCACAGCAAAACTCGGAAGGTAAGGTCTCTCTTATATCATTTACAACGATTTTTGACGTGCAGGTCAAATATGTGAATGATTTTATTCAAAAATAACTTGGTATTTAGTAACAGAGAAGGCGCATATACAGGGTACAGCACAATGACCGTCGGTTTGACCTATTTTTGGAAATAATTGGATTCATATCCTGAAAATTGCCAAAAATAGGTTTTGTGTATATTCATTATTGAATAAAAATAATGGCGTTTTTCCAAAACTTTGTGCCAACTTCCTTAATTCAAATGTAATATCCTATATATTTTCACATTTTTGAATACCATAATTCTAATGTCAGTTTATTAACTGTTCTCGGTATATTCATTTGTTTAATCAAAAAAACTAGGTAATCACCTATCGAGTGATTCCCCTATAAAATTCAAAAATTTGATAGAATACCTAAATGAGCTATTATTGATTCATCAAAATACTTCATTTCATCGTTTTGAAGGAGTAACATTTGCATTATACAAAGTGTTCGGAATTGATCACTGATTCTGAAGATATAACTATGCGCCAAAACTCAAGTTTTCTCAAAATCTCTGCNGTATAAAAAACACACGAGACACGGTAGAGGATGTGCCCCAGTTAAGGATGCCATATCTAAGATGCGAATTGAAGTTTGCGTAATAGACAGTTAATAAAATACTTTGACCACAATGGTGGGATAGAAACCTAAGAGAATAACAGGCTTTTCTAAGTTTATTACATAAGTGGTCAATATGTGTCCTCCATTGAAGTTTGTCATCAAAAATAACACCCAACATTTTTGTTGACTTGGTTAGGTTCAATTTTAAAGCAGTATCATCAAACAGATTCAACCCATATTGTTGCCCAGTATTCATCTTGAAATTTAACAAGTTAGTTTTGGCTTCATTCAACATTAAATTGTTTTTCTTTGACCACATAATAACTTTTTTGTAGGTCTCTAGAGCTGTGTTTTTCGCGGAGTCCATATCGTTTTCAATAATTATTATATTAGTATCATCAGCATAACACGTACAGTGAATGGCCGAGTTCTTATTTAGGTACACTGACAAGTCATTGGCAAAAGCTAAATACAAGAAGGGTCCTAGAATGGATCCCTGTGGTACCCCATCCTCATTATACTTCACGAAAAAGGTTCATTTCTGAGCGATATAAAACCCTTTCATATCATATCTATAGAGGAGCATAAACAAATTAGTATGCCTTTCAGGATTTATAGTGATGTCGTTTAATATTTCGTATTCTTTTCAGCAAACCCTTTTATTTGATACCCATTTCATGGGGGTGCATCAAAAACTAGTCCGCCAAATTTCGAAATTTCTGGTATCTGTTCAATGCTGTCAAATTATATTTTTTTACGTGGTTCTCTAATGAAATGAAGGTTTAAAAAACAAAAAAATATTGAAACAGAATTTTTAATGACGTTTCCCTAAATCATTGGGGGCATTAGTATTCACACAACTTCTGAAACAACGACTCGAACTGTCGTTATTATTTTGTGTTGATTGTAATAATAACTACAGTACAAAAAACTTCATTTTGTATTGCTTTCTCAGCGATCAGAGGCTCTTAAAATTGAAAAGTGTTCTGGAACTGCCTAACAAAGATAATACATTTCAAAGATAGTATTATCAGAAAATTTAATGAGCTTCACGAAGTACTAATACAATCATGTTTTTTCTTCAGGAACCTATAAAATTGCTCAGTAAAACTACTTCGACCTTCAATTTTACTTGGAAAACACCTGCTGCTTGTCCCAAACTGAAACCCAGAACCAGATGCCGTTTCAAACAACCATTCAGTGATCAATATTCGTAAGTGTCACTTCACTACATAGTTCACAATAACTGAAGTTTTTTTTTTTTTTAGGTATGATTTCACCACGTTGAGTAGGACGGACTTGAAATTGAATGTTTCAGGGTCTGTATACCTGTTCGATATTTGCCAACATAATGTGTCAAAATGTAAAGAAAAAGGTAAGTTTTGCTTTATTGTTCATTTTCGTGCCAGCAAAACATTGAAAAGCATAACACAAATAAAAAAAGGTCAATAATCTCGGAAAGCGTCAAATGTCTAATTTTATTTCTGTAATATTCAATCTCATAGTGAATCCTGTATAAAGTTCCTCTTACAATAAAACTAACAACTCTCTCGACACATGCTAAATACTTGACTTTCATAGGCATAACTTTGATAGGAATAGTAATTTTGGTAGGATATCTGTCTATTTGAAAATAAAATATAAATCATGTTACTCGCTAATAATGAAGCTTTTATAAATGAAATGGTTTTTGAAATCGGTTCAAGTAGTTTTTTAGTTTATCCATTATGAACAAACAAAGAAATATTTTCTATTCATAATTTTAGCTTATATAGATATGGGGTATACAATAGAATTGGTAATTGTATATAACTCTACATATATTTTACTCACTCCTTTTGTAGAGGTGCCAATTGACTTCTCTCGTTGAATTCAAGTATCTCGCAAATATTGAAAAAAAAATATTATTCCTTGATATTTAAAAATACTAAAAAATAAACTGGCCAAAATAGTCTGATGAGGTAGTTAAAATAGAAATACTGTCAAGAATGAGGGGAAAAAAATTTTATGGAAATAAGACACATTTAGAATTCAGTTTGAACAAAACTTGCAATGACCCCCAACAATTCAATAAGGCATTGTTTGAACTTGTTTGTGATAAAATTATAAATAATGATCATTTCGAATTCAAGAGCTTGGAAAACTGTACTCTACTATTCCAGCTAAAAACCCACCAGGCCTGCTCAGAAAAGGTAAAGAATTTTATATATAATTGTTGTTCAGTCATCTTCATGACATGAAGAATATATTTGTACACTGAATCCAATCATTCTCCCGTCCCAAATCTACATGCCCCCGACTTTTTAATTAGAATTGACCTCAAATATTATTCTTCACTTGACATAACTAGTATGCACATCTTTTGATAAGTAGAATTTGGAACCTATAGCGTGAATTGAATGTATTGAAAACATTTTTCCGTCACCATAATAAAATTGCTGTATCTCAATGCGTGTTTTGCTAACCAAGTTAGCATCATCAGGAGATGACTAAAACTACTTCTTGCAAGCTATGTTATTGTTTTTTTATACATCTACTCAAATCATTAACATGAGTTTTGAGTATAGTGTTTGGCAATTATCCTATTGTAATTTACCACCAAAAGATTTAACCGAATAATAATTGAAGATGTATTTATGTGCTGTAATTTTTTTTTTCATTTCAATAGTCTTTTTCTCGAAAGGTGAGTTTAAAAACGGCTTTGCTGACACTCCGCCCATTCACCACAATATATTTTTTTATTCTGTATGTTCTTACTTTAGGTGACTAAAGACGTTTTATTATTATTATTATTATATTGCAGTGTAGTGCAAGGCAAATACCAATACCATAGAAACAAAACAGTTTCTAATGTCCAATTCAAACTATTAATGAAATGATTCATAAATGAAAAGCTTTGAATTTTCTATGGCAGGGCACCCTTCATCGTACAAGTCGGAACGTCATTTTTAATGAGTTTTCTGAGCCATTTCTTTTTTTTTTCTCACAACCCTTCACAGCAACAGTAGCATCAGATCCAATACAATTCTTGATAAACTCTGTAATCTGTTTGTGGTTGAAGGTTGCTGTTGAAAATCACTTTCAGTTTGTTCATGATTCCATGGTAATCCATGCAAATTTCTCGTAAACCAGTTCATATTTTTCTTCACATTTGGATTATAATATCCGATGTCTGTAGGTAAATTTATCAAACGAGAATACCACATTCCAGTTTCAACTCTTGAAATTGCAATTTCTTTGCATTTTTTTTGTGTTGCCATATTGAAAACCTTGTGCATCGATAATCAACATGATACCTCGCTTGATGACTCCATTAAAATGAAGTATTGAAACAATTTGTAAATTACTTATAATGATGATTAAGCAATATTACTTGAATCTATCCAACTATTATGTTTGTTACCAAATCTTAGCCATTTATCAAAACCTTTTCCATTATTCTTTCTTTTAAGACTCTTGTCCGCAAGATAGACATCGGAATATTTCACTTTTTGCAATTGCTCTTTGCAAAAACCTCTTGAAATATCCTGCTTTTTCGAATCTTTCAATAAATACGTTATAATATTTGTCAANCTTCAATATTTGTCTAAACTCTGTCCTAGTACTGCTTGATTCAAGTTGCCTGTTTCGCAAACAGTGTTTAATGACTTTGATATATTCTTCACCACAATAAAAGGCTGTGGAATAATAAATTTTGCTAGCTCATAACATTTTTCGTAATTTACTTCAGAAAATGAAATTATCAATAATATATTTTTGAAGGACATATTTGTGCCTTTAAAGAGGGAAAAGTCAAAGATTATTCCTGAGTACTCTGTACATTCAATGGATTCTCCAAATGGCCACTCAGTAGATACTGCTACTAAAACAAAAGATCCTCAAACAAATGAGAAGGAAGTTGTCAGAAACAGAGGCGATATAAGAAGAAACTTGAAGAATTGTTCAGTTGAGAATCACGAGACTGGTTTCGAATTCAATATCAGCAGTTTGAAACTAAACGTAATTATGCAATCATTTAAATGAATTTATGGTGTTACAATGAATTTTGATTTTATAGATCTCATCTCCAAAATGTCCTGAAATAGTTTTCAATTATTCCAACAAGTCTGTCGTACTACTGTTTTCTTTGGATAATGCCTGTGGTGAGAACCTTCAATTGATACAATTTAGTAGAAAGTGTCCAGTGTTCGAGAAATTTTGACTATTGAAAGTAACTGAAAAAATAATGAAATCAAAAAAACCTATTGTGAAGTTTACAAATTTATTAGGTTGTTTCGAAAGTTTTGTCCGTTTTTATGAGTCTACTTTGAATTGTAATATCTCAGTGAATACCTATTCAATTTAATCGAAAGGAGCGACATTTGAGTTTGTGCACTTTAGCCAATGTAACACAGAAAGATTACCTCCGTCGACATAAATTTTGCTTTCTCGGGATTTAATGATGTCGACGAAGGCCGTTTTAACCTGGTCCTGATTGGCGAAGGTTCTACCGATGAGAAAGTGCTTGAAAAGATGGTAGTCGGATTGGTGGGAGATCTGGGGAGTATGGTGGGTGACGCAGAACTTGACGCTCAATTCGTTTAATTGTCAGACGGTGATTTGTGAAATGTGCGGACAGGCGTTGTCATGAATCAGGATCGGACAGAGTCACTGTGTAGATTACGAAATTCTCTATCGATTAGTATACACCATGACATAGTAGAATGAATATTTCGAATATATTCCAACGCCGTTCGTGGTATTAGCCAGTGGGGTAGTTGTTTTCTGATAGGCGTCAGTCAATTCAACCTACTGTGTAGGTATATCCGAGACTAGCTTGAACATTCAAAGTTCATTTCTTTAGATTTGTTTAATGCCAGCCTTCAAGCATAGCCGACTGACTAATAAGAAAGAATAAATATTTATTGAGATATGAGGCTACAAAAACATGACATTGAAACAGACAAAACTTTTAAAACAACATTCCTGGGTAATGTTGCGAAAACAAATGAAGTATCTGTGTACTGGGCACTACATACCCCTTTATCCTATCAAACTATATGTAATCATTCATATTACACTTTTGAAATTATTCAAATTTGATATTTCCAGAAAACTCGAAAATATATGAATATAAGGTTATAATGGAGTGTCCATCGGAACTTATTCGTCAAAACAATACAAAGGTAAGTAAAAATTTTAGTTACCACATTTTTAACATAAATAATGTTGTTAGTTGTTGAATGTACAGTAAAACTAAAACATAATGAATAATATAAAAAACATTTCAGAATTATTATCATATATAAATATTGGACGTTTGTTGTATTATTATTAGATTTATATGCCCAACTATCTGGTATCTGTAGAGTAGGGAGGGTGAGTGTAAGCCCACGCACTTAGGCCACATGTGACTCATTGTACATCCACCCAAGAGTTGTCCTCCTAGGCCATCGTCCATCCTGTCCTTTCCAGGAAAGTGACTGGTCACTAGGAGACATCTCCTTTATATTGGCAGGTGTAGGCCGATACCCGCCAAACACACACTCTCTTTAGCAACTTTGAGGTGTCTCACGGTGGCCTCCGCGAAGGTTTTAGAAGGTGCAGCGACATTACTGTCGTTGCGAGGCTTCCTCCACCTTTAATAGGGTTCCCTCCGATTCCTTACCTTTATTCAAAGCGGAGCTCTTGGCGCCTGCCGCAGGAAGTGCCCTTGCTGTTGGAGGTAGAGTGGGGGAGGAGAAGGGTGCACTTATAGTTCCACCTTAGCTTGGATAGGCTGGTCCACGGTTGCATGTTTTGCAAAGGCTTTTGGTTCCCCTCACCCTATTTATTTCTGCCACTGACCAGGAGTCCAGCGACCCCGTCCATAAGGCCACATTGGCTTCCCGGACAGGGCCCAACTAAACCAAGAATTAAAAAAATTGTGAGTTAAAGAAATTAAAGATGGTGGCTTTCTGTCAATTTCCCAAAAAAATATTTGTTGTTTCAATCATTCACCGAAATTATTCATTCAACTTTGAATTTCGGTTAAATAAATACCATAATAAATCATAATATAGGAAGAAGGAAATATTAAGAGCAGATAGTTGTTGGTTCACAGATGGATCAAAAACACTTTCCGGTTCTGGTGCAGGTGTTTTTAGTCGCAGACCCAGGACAGAGATATCTACCTGCCTAGGAACTTAAGCGACTGCATTTCAAGCGAAAATGTACGCTATTGAATTGTGTGCGAAGAGATTGGATGAAACCAACCTTATACACAAGTCAATGAAAATATTCTTGGACAGTCAAGGGGCGTTGGAAGCTCTTGGCTCCTACTGAGCACGTCTAAATTGGTAGTAAATTGCCAAAACGACTCTCCTCGATAGGAAGACTCAACAGATTGTCTCTGATCTGGATTCCTGGCCATACTGGCCTAGAAGGCAATGAAGCTGCTGACTCCCTTGCAAAGGAGGGTGCTGCAAGCAGCTTCATCGGACCAGAACCTGTCATTGGCATCGCTTTAGGCTTTGCCAAAAAACATTGAACACCTGGATGGCAAGAAGATTTATGGACTTCTGGCAGAAGCTTCCAGGCGTTTATTCACCCTTCGAAGCTTGATATCAAACAGTTGTTGGACTACATGAACTACGATGTCTGATAGACCTTCTTACAGGTCACTGTCATTTGAATCATCATATGCAGAGACTTGGACTGTCGAAAGACAGTGTGTGTCGCCTCTGTTTGGAAAATGATGTTTCAGTTCTGATTTATCCTTTTTTTTTTTGGTGTTCTTTTATTTTATGTTAGTCAGTTTTTGAATTTTGTTTTCTTCTCCCTGCTATAGTTGGGAAAGTAAATTGTTGCTAGTATAAATCATATCGCTCAAATAGTCTACTTCACAAGTTAAAATTCGTTGTTCAATGGAAATAAAGCACTATGAGATTTAGCTCATTGGATTCAGAACGAAGTGTAGAAAAATTGGTTTCTATGGTTTTCTTATTAAAGAATTGGAATCAAAAAAGATAGATAGATTCCGTCTGCCAATGTAAAAGTGGCTGCAAATAAGGGTTACTAGCTGATGATGATATATTACAGTGAAAGAGAGTTAACCCTTCACGGCACTCGTCAGACAAAGAAGGTGATAGCCAGCTGTGTGAATTTTCAGCGCTGTTACGCAACTAAACAGTGCTGCTGGTATTCTAATCTCACCGCTGTATCTTATAGACCATTAGACTATTGGATTTAAATATTTGAAATATTGAATGTTAGTAATAATTTCGCATTAGAATAATTAGAGTATTTTTAATAAGACACTTGTTGATAAAAATATTTTCATAAATCTATTTGGTTCAATTAGCAGGAAAAATGTCTCGAAACTTTCACAACACAGCTACCAGAGGCATGTAAACTTCTGGAAAAGACAATTCTGAACAACAAACAATTCAGCTCTGGAGAAATTGCAGGTAAGGAATTGAATTTTTAGCTATTTAATGTTATTGTTATGTGGACATTTTTGACGTTCTGCTTCTGTATAGATGAAAAAGTATGGTTCAAAAACTTGAGAAAAAATTTAAGAAAGTTTGAAATTTATGTAAAATTATTAACATACGTATAAGAAAATAAATATATCTAAATTAAATCCCAAAACATTCATCTCTCCTTAAATTTTTGGGTTACTAGGTCAACTAATTCTTTTTTTGATCTATTGTTTGAATATTTCGAGGCAGGCAAGTGCCCTGTTGGGATTTTCTGTAATCTCTGCAGAACATTCAACTGAATCAGATATATTCATTTCTAAAAAATAGACGAAAATATGTTGTTATCAATAACAGATATACAGTGCATTTCTTTAATGTCTCCCCCTTTTATTTTTTGAACGGATCGACTCAAAAAATTGAAATTTGGGATAATGAAATTAATGCATGAATAATTTATTTTGAAGTGAAATTGCCAGATGAAACTTTCAAGATGGCGACTGGAAAGGGGGTCTTGTGACACATTATTTTGAAGCTCCTGGCGAATACTTCACAACACTAAAATATGAAGTCAATATCTTCACCTACTACAAAATGGCGAAACATTTAATAATTTCCTGAAGACAAACACATTAAAATCGATATTTCTAGAAATATTCCTTTTTATCTGCCATATGGCAATTCCAACAACCTGATAAGGTTTGTTAAGTTATTTTTTGTTTATAAAAACGACAAAAAATGTCGGTACGACAATGAACATCATTGTTCAGTTAGAATATTCTCATTTAGTTTTCGGTTTTACTAGTAGGAAGGTACCACGTCAACAATCTCTAAAATGGTCAATTCTCGTCCATTGGATGAAAAAATTGAAGCGATTTTTATTTACGGTGCGACGCGTAACTTTCACGACACCGAAAGGATTTTCAATGAACGTTTTCTGAATCATCCTATCTGTAGAAAGTATTTGAGGGAACTTGTATCCAAATTCAGAACTATCGGTAGTGTACATAACAAAAAGCCCCCAAGTCATCCGTCCATTCCGGAAGAACATCAAGTGCAAATAATTGGAAATCCTGAATAGTCTACTTATTCCGTCGCGAATGTTTGTGAGGTGTCTCCTTCTACTGTGTGGGACTTTTGAAGAGGAATAGGTATCATCCATACAAAATTAAAATGGTACACCAATTAACTGAAGATGACTCTGATCGAAGAACAGAATTCTGCGAAATCATGACGGAAACCACTGCAAGGAATCCTACCTATCTCCACAATATTTGTTTTTGTGACGAATGGAATTTTTTTTAACGGCAACGTTCACAGACAAAATTGCCGTTATTGTAGTGACATCAATCCTCACGTTTTCCGGGAAACACATACTCAATATCCAGAAAAAATTAAAGTTTGGGTAGGAATATTGGGAAACCATATTGTAGGACCTCTATTTATTGATCAAAATTTAAGAGGGGAACTGTATTTGAATATGCTGGAAACTACTGTTGACCCTCTCATCACTGAAATCGTCAAAGCGAATCCTAATGAATTCAATATGGATATTGTCTTCGAACAAGATGGATCACCACCACATTACTCCAGTCAAGTAAGAAACTATTTGGATACTACTTTTCCCGGTCGTTGAATTGGCCGTCGAGGTCCTTCAGAATGGCCAGCCCGCTCGCCAGATTTGACATTTTTGGATTTCTTTTTTGTGGGACTATTTGAAGCAAAAGGTGTACGAAACTGAACCTACTTCAATATTGGATATATTGCAGAAAATAATAAATATTTGTAGATATATTGACGTTACCTGTGTTCGAAAATGTTCTGCGTGAAATATCGGATAGACCGTTCATATGTCAAGAGCATCTTCTGAACTGACCTCAAGCTTATTACCTCATATTATGTAGTTGAATGTCAATGTATTCAGACAATTATCAAAAGTTCCGCCATTTTGTAGTAGTTGAAGATATTGACATATTCTAGGGTTGTGAAGCATTTGTCAGAAGCTTCAAAAAGATGTGTCACAAGACTCCCCTTTCCATTTAATTTTTTTCCCCAGATGGCGCCCTGTCGCCACCTTGAAAGTCACCTGTCAATTTCACTTCAAAATAAAATATTCATGCATTAATTTCATTATCCCAAATTTCAATTTTTTGAGTTGACCCGTTCAAAAAATAAAAGGGGGGGGGGTCATTAAAGAATTACACTGTAGTACTTTCAGTAAATGTAATTCAAATTTTATTTAATACGTCGGTAGGTGTACCTCAGGGATCATTTTCAGGGCCAATACTGTTTATTTTATATATTAATAAAAATAGATTCCACAATCTCCAAAAACGTTGTATGCTAATACAGTTTGACATTCATGATAAGACAATTCGTGTCACAGAAGAGACAAACTGTTTAGGAATTACCAATGATGCCTGCTCGACGTGGAAACAACACTGGTCGAATTTAACGAGCACAGTCAATTCGTTATGTTATTTCTTCAGGATCCTGAAAAATATTTTAACAGATCAGCAACTTTTAATACTGTATTGTGCTCTAGCCGCATCCAGGAAGACAATTCATAAGTATGTGGAATAACTCGACGTATCAAATGTATTCGTGGCTCGAAGTTATATTTGGAGAATAATGGCTAAAGGTTCTTTGCAGAAGTTTATTCAGACACTTCAATTCTTTGACCCTTGTCAGCAAGTATATATTGGAATTTTGGATTTGTGTCTTCAAAAATAAATATAAATTCATACATTTTAGATATGAGTTCAGATATTTTATTTCTTAATGATGTCAAATTCCTCACTATGAAAAGTTACTCAATGAATTTAAAAAAATGAAATAAAGACATTTGGTATGACACTTTTGGCTGAGGTGGCTTTTAACAATGAAAAGTTCAGACGTGAAGATTTGAGGAGTACTGTGTGTGAATGATATTGAAAAATATAATTGTTTCATAACAAAACATAAAACATCAATAATTATAGAAAGATTGTAACATCCTCTCAGAGCATACAAGTCCTGATTTGAAAAAATCATTGCCATATCTTCTACTTTGTAACCAGGGCCGTAGCGAAAAGAAAAACCAGGGGGGGGAATCCAAATTTTCCCAACTCCACCAGCAAAATTTCCCAACTTTCGAAGAAATGAAAGCCGAGGAATTAGTTACTACTATAATATATTCATTTTCTTACTTAGCTATCCAAAGATTGGCTGAATGCTTATGTCCGTTAGGGTATGCACAAACAAAAATAAATTTTGGTGATTATAAAAATAATAATGGGAATTATTCTACTTTGGACCAAGATCCCTGGTCTTTCACCATATCCACCATGTATAGGAATATTCAATACAAATGAAAGGAAACAACACTTACATTTTTTTATTATTATTTTTTTCTATCTTCATGGCCCAAAATTTCCCAACTTTTCCCAAATAGAAAAAGCAGGGGGGAGGCTCCGCCCATCCCCCCATGGCGACGGTCATGTTTGTAACCCTCCAAATTCAAAATATTTCAAACACATGCGAGTCATAATAATTCATTTGAGGATTTCCTGATTTCTTACATGAAGTCTATGCACTTCACCACTAATCAGTTCATAGATAGGGATGATGAAATATTATGAATTATTTACTTCACTAACCTTATGAAATTTTATCATTTATATTTATTTTTCAGGTATAACTGTTGGTACCGTAGCTGCGGTATTAGCCCTCATTGGAGTCTCGATACTTATTTTTCTAAAATATCCCAATTTCGGAAGAAAATCTTATAATTCAATTGTTTATGAAAAAGTAAGTGTTGACATGAAAATCATCAGTTATATAGAACACAATTTATTTTGAAGGTTACTATTCAAACAAAATTCTAATCATTAGTTTGTTTCAAAAGTTTTGTCCGTTACTATGAGTCTACTTTGAATTGTAATATCTCGGTGAATACGTATTCAATTTAATCAAAATAAACGCCATTTGAATTAGTGCACTTTTACAAACGTAACACATGTCGTTAATTCCGTCAGCATTGAAATTTTGTGCTTGGGATTCGATGAAGTCGAGGAAGCTAATTTTTGCCTGGTCCTGATTGGTGAAGGTTCGACCGGTAAGAAAGTTATCGAAGTGCTTGAAAAGATGGTAGTCGATTGGCGAGAGGTCTGGAGAATATGGTGGGTAAGGCAGAACTTCGACACACAATTCGTTTAACTTTCAGACGCTGATTTGTGAAACGAGCGGGCAAGCATTTCGTCACAATAGGACTCTGCTGGGACGTGGTTTGGTCCTGTTGTCAAATCCAGGAAGTGACTTCAAAGTCTTGACTTAATACCTCTCCTAAGATGAGCGTTCATTAGGTGACTGTGAGAGAGAAATATAAAATTTCAAGTCTTTTCCTAGTTTTGACAAGCTGTATAGTGAATTACACCAGCCGCTGACCACCATACAGTAACAATAGTCTTTTTTGGAGAGTTTTCGCATTTGGGAAGTGCCTGGGTAGCCCGTCGGTGTCCAGCCACTGTCCTGAAGGTTTCCTGATGTCGCAGAGGATCCACTTTTCATCACACGTGACGATCCGCTAAAATCTTCAGAACTAAATTTCGCAAACCAACGCGAACAGTGCGTTCATTATTAACACTATCATTGCCAAATGCCTGGTTAATTTGTCGGGCAGTTTCGGCAGCGCTTTGGTTATATTTTAATTCATAGAGAAAAATTGTCCGAAAATCGCTCAACATCATTTAGCAATAAGCTGAAGAGGCAAAAAATCAAAATTTGAAAAAAGTATCAGCAACTGTGATAAAGTACAAAATTCTCTATCGATCAATATTTACCACGACACAATGACATTAAAACGGACAAAACTTTCAAAACAACCTAATATTTGTATGTTCATTAAAATATTTCATCCAATCTTTCATTTCATACAGTGATGCTTATCATAATTAGTGATTGTTCATGAATAAATATGGAGATGAATCTCATTCTTACCTATCATAAGTAGATTTCTCCAGGACTTCATTCTCTTATACTGACAAATGTTATTCTAATGCTGCAAGAGTGCATTAAGATAACTACAAATATTTTTCTTTATATCAATCACAAAATTCTTACTGGAAACACAATAAAAAAATACATTGAATGATGTATAGAAACATTGGACAGGGCAGTGTTTTCTTCTTTGTGAGAAAATTTAAAAAATATATGTATATATAAGAGAATATTTACTAACGGTGCACTTGAAATTTTCTCTTGAATAAGGATCTTTTGAGCCAAGTAGAATATGTGTTGAAGTTTTTTTCTTTCATATATTTTGTTTCATAATCGCAATCTTGAGTCAGTGATAAATAGGTATTGAATTTTTATTCCTAGCACCTAGCAAAGCCATTCAAATTCGAGTATATGAACAATAAACAGTAGGAGGTAGAAAGCAGGTTGAATTGTATTGAAAATACCAAACATTGTTTCTAGCTCTTTTGCTTTCGAATATATACGAGAAAAACAAAAAATTTCAAATTATGTTTTTGGCAGTATCTGCTTTTTTCGTAGACGGACCTGCATTTTTTCTTGATGATGTGCAGGTAATATCGTGAAATGAAAATCTTTCAGGTATTCCTGAGAATTTCGAATATTAAATCATCTACTATTTTGATTTTTTTCAGAAAATGTGAACATGCGTAAAATGATTTGATATTATCTGAAAATATTAATCTCCCATCTTCGGTTAATTTTTGTTCTCAATTTTAGTTTCCATAATATTTTCGATAATTTCTGGAGAATATCATTATTGGAATCCCAAATATAGTTCTCTAATTTTCTTGCTGGAAAATAGTCGAGATCCTAACCAACAGAGTCTTGTGCTAGGCTGCCATTCTGAGATGATATCATGGTGCTCCAATAACAGCAATTGCAGTCTCGATCCTTATTTTTAGAAAATATAGCGATTTTAGAAAAAATCTTATATTTCAATTGTTCGTTTTCTTTACTAACTTTATTGCTGAAAAATATTCGAGCTACTGATTACAGCTACCGGATTGAGTCATGGGCGGTGGGAAAAATTGCATCTGTACTTCACGAGTTTGACTATTTAAAATATGTTTATGCAATTTACTTTCAAACTCCATTACTAACTGAATACGGTCCTGAATTTGGATGTTTACGACTCGAAAAATCAGATTTCTACACATCTACTGCACATTATGAGGGAGGGGCTTCTCACCGGCCATAATTCAGTTTGGCAGAGCTGTACATTCTTGCTTATAACGCTATTCATTTCATTATTGCATTCGTTCTGAGAGATTCTATATTCCTTATTGCTACAATGTTGATGTTTATGCTTAAATAATTTATTTTACTTCAGGATGCTGACTTGTAATGAACATTCCATGAATTGTTGACAATTTTCAAGATGAAAGACGAAAGTGATGTTACACGAGATGAGATGCATGCATCACCTTCCATCACGTAGAAAGACTGGAATATATTTTTAACCAAAAATCAATTATGCTAAACAACTTTTCAATTTCATGGAGTTATCCAATTGTTTTATTTAGGTTCCTATCTCATGTGTTGTCTAATTTTATTCAACTACAATGAATATCAGATTTTAGGCAACTCAAATTCAGAAAAATTCCTAATTTCAGTATAAGGTAATTGTTTTAATGATGTTTATAATTTATTTGTTTTTTTTGTTATTTAATTCATTGACTATGGTTTCGATTTATTTTTTCATTGTTTTTAAAATCTTTGTCCACATTAAGTTTTCAATAACTTTTATATTTATTTGTAAAAATTGAATCGATTGCTTATAACTTTTTTATAATAAAATATTTGTTTTCTTAATGTTTTATTTTCCCTTTTGATTTCTTTGAAAAATTGCACAATTTTCCAAGAGCCCAGAAGATTTGCATTCATGATACAATAACAGGCAATGCTTTATCTGGCATAAATCTCGGTAGTTCTCGGCTGAATCACAAATGCAACGTTTGAACTCGTTTGTTATTTAAAAGAACAATCCTGAGGAAGAAGTTAAACTCTTCTCATGAAGATACCACATATGGGATTGAAAACTCCAACCCTTTTCATCAAAGATAAACAATGATTGATAATCTGTTGCAAACAGAAATGAGCTTTTTGTTTTTCTACAGCTTTAACAACAAAGGACCAACTAGATCTGCTCTATTATCCAATTGTCTGAAAATGAAAGGTAAGTTTCAACCTCAAGATTGAAACATCTCACTTCCAAAGGTTCTCAAACAATTCTGACTAAGTTTAATCTTTCTCGTGAAGATGATCACTTGGTGATCGAAACACGTGTCAAGGTGTTAAAAATAACGATTTGGTGTTGGGAAAAAACTCCAGTAATATTCATTACTACACCAAAGGTTCCTAACAGTGCATCATAAATTCTGACTACCAAAAGAATGAAAATGTAAGAATGTTAGATTAATAATACTAGCAGTCGAGTCAGTCTGTGTTCACCTATGTCATGCCTTCTACATTTTTTGTATTGAAATCTTTATAATCTACATGTTCAACTCGGTGTTAAATATATTCTTATTTATATTGTTCTTTGTCATATCTATATATTGTGATTTATTCATCAATTNCTTTGCTGATCTTAAAAAAATGCTCCAGGGAAAAAGATTTGGCTCAAATGAGGAGGTCATCGCTGAAACTGAAACTTATTTTGAAGCGAAAGATACATTTTTTTATAAACATGGTATTGATAAATTGGAAAAGCGTTGGAACCATTGTATCACCCTGAAAGGAGATTATGTTGATGAATAAAAAAAAATTTTGTAAAAAAAATGTTGTTTTCATTGTTAGTCTTGGGACTTATTGATCCATGTGTTAATTGTTTTTGAAATATTCGCCAAAAACTAGAAGTGTCGAATTTTGTGTTTTGGCTCTACCGCCTGTATTTCGAATGATATAAAAAAATGCAGAGGCACTTTCAATACTGTTTCATATTTGTTATATGATATGAAGCAATTTTCGATGTTTCATTCATTAGATTTCATGAAATTTTTTTTTAAAATAAGGGGCCTCTAGTTTTTTTCATCGATTTTTTCAGCCAAAAATCACACATTGAAAAAAAATTAAGTACACTTCTGCAATGTAGTGTATAGCTTTGATGTATATCGTATTCAGAAGAAAAACAATCATCATGTGCTCGACTCGTCTATGATACATTTTATGCATTACACTGGTAACAGTGTTTTTGTCACATGAACTTTGTGACATTTTTTGTTTATGTTGGCCTACCCCCATAATAAATATAGGTATAATAATTTTGTTTCAATCACATCCAGTTTTTTTGTGACGGCTATATATTCATTTCTGACCTAATATACGTCTATTTGTTTGAGTAGTCATTTAGGCGGCTCTATAACTATTGCATCATCTAACATATATTTTATTTTCGTTAGATACATCACAAATATGCAACGAAAGTGTTCTACTAACCCTGACAGTTTTGTTATGTGTGTTTGTATTTTGGATTTATTGTGGGTCCTAGATAAATGCTGTGTAACGTGTGTGAGACTCCTATTAGGTTGGCCTTTTATTTAAGTCAAACAAAAATAAAAGGCATTACAACGAAGTCCAAACTTACTATCCAGTATACAAACTTGTCTTCGGCCAACAGACCCATCCTACATAGTGCCGAACTGCTTCTGCCGAAGCCTCCAAATCGATTCCAGTCCCGAAGAACTTGTTCGCATGAGGAATATGAAGATAATGACCAACATTATGAAACGCAAACTTCAAAAGAACCGCACTTATTGACACAAAGTGATTCAAACGATTTAGTACGTGATTTGAATTTGTTTAAAAAACAGGCTGAGCTTTTGGGGTCTAGATTAAAGGACTGAAATTTACTTTCTCCTGATACAAAAGTTTCTTATTTTCGACATTGTGACGATCAAATAAAAGCTTACTTTTCCAAAGTAAATGATTTAGTCCTTTGTAATATTTATGTTGTGATAAATTTAGTGAATTTTGAATATGATCCAAATCACTGGCGATTGTTCATCGACTCTCCAAAAACTAGTTTGAAAGCAGTGTTGCTGTATAACAGAAACGAACTCCCTTAAGTGCCGGTTGCTCATGGTTCTTATATGAACTTACGACTTACGAAAATATAAGATTTCTTCTTGAAAAATTTAAATACAATTAACACGCTTGGAAAATTTGTGGCGATTCAAAAGTTATTTATTATTTGCTTGTACTACATGTTGATTACACAAAATTTTGCTGTTTTATTTGTGAATGGGACAGCAGAGATAGAAAAAGTCACTATTAAAATAAAAGGTTGCTCAATTGTGTCACTCCAGGCCGTACAAATGTTAAAAATAAACCTTTAGTGAAACATGATGACATACTTTTACCACCGTTGCACTCGGTCTGATGGAAAAATTTGTAAAAACTATGCCCAAAGATGCGAAAATTGAAGGGAGAATATTTGTAGGCTAACAAATACAACTTATAAAGGATAAGAGCTCGGAAGAAAAACTAAATGATCAGGAAAAAATTGCCTGGAAATGTTTTGTGAGTCTGGTCCAAAATTTCCTAGGAAGTCATAAAGCGGAAAACACAAAGACTTAGAGGAACTAATAATGTCAAATAAAGCTTTGGGGTGTAATGTGTCCTGAAAAATACATACATTTACTTAATAGAGAAGCGTTATCAATGGAAATGGAGTCCAAGAATGCTAGCAGATTATTGTTGGAAACTCAGGAGGGACCTACCAGAAGACAAATATTCACGAAAATCATAAATATTTATTGTACATCAAGTAATAATTTCTCTGAGTGTAATTGATTTTTGTTATTTTCACCAAAATATATGCTTTGATGTCATGAGAAAACCTGTGGTGTCAATTTTTTTCATTGATACAATATTGGTTAGTGGCCCTAGTAGATTCAAAGTTTGATATAAGTTTTCATATGACAAAAAACAGTTGAAATTTTGTTGACCAGTTTTATCTGCTTTATATTTCTATTCGATTTATAATATTTGTGCATGTGATATTCTGACTCAGTCAGTTGTTGTTGAGACTTTGATATATAAGCTTCGTCCCTATAGTCAACGCACATACCACTGAAGATGTCTGCCACAGTAGCAAAGGAACCGTTTGTTACTTCATGTTCACTGCCCACCAGCCCGGATTTTATTCCCTCTAGTAGTGTAGCAATTACTTAGAATTTTAAAGATTCTTCTTGCCCTTTTTGATACAAGGCTAAAATTTACTGGTTTACCACAAGGAAAAAAAACAACTCCAAATCATAAACAACATTTTGAATGTTGATCGCTTTACTTTTTTTTTTCAAACAGTGAGTACATAATTTTTTCCCTAGACTCCTCAGAACAAATAATTTGTTGCTTTAATGAAAAATATCTCAATGATATTAAATAAAATCAAGAAATGAGTAAAAGCAGATTTTATTCAAAAAGAATAGTATAACAGTTAAATAAAATATAACAAATATTTGGATAAAAACAAAAATTCAAATTCGCCTCAGTCTGGATTTATGAATGATTCGTAATACTTGGTGAATTCATTTACATTTTACTCTTACAAACCTTAAAGAAAGTAAACACAAGTTTAAGTGTTGAAATTAAACCTCACCTTCAGCATCATACATGCATCTTTTTTTTTAAGTTTTCTGCCAGCTTGTCCATAAACTCAAAAGTTTCCAAGTAGTCCGAACGTTGAACTTTGCTTGCACCTTTAATGCATATGGCTAAATCTTTGGTCATGAAACCTGATTCAATTGTTTCAACACATACTTGTTCCAGGGTATTAGCAAAATGTTCTAATTCCTTATTGTTGTCAAGTTTGGCCCGGTGAAGTAAGCCCCTAGTCCACGCATAAATGGAGGCAATGGGATTTGTTGAAGTTTCCTTTCCTTGCTGATACATTCTGTAATGTCTTGTGACTGTACCATGGGCAGCTTCAGCCTCTACTGTCTTTCCATCGGGACATATAAGAACTGAAGTCATAAGTCCCAAAGATCCGTATCCCTGAGCAACTGAATCAGACTGCACATCACCATCATAATTTTTGCAAGCCCATACAAATCCACCTTCTGACTTCATTGCATAGGCAACCATATCATCAATTAATCGGTGTTCATACCATATATTTTTTGCTTCATATAAAGATTTATATTCGCGATCATAAATATCTTGGAAAATATCTTTGAAACGACCGTCATACTTCTTCAGGATGGTATTTTTGGTGCTCAGGTACAGAGGATATCCTCTATCGAGGGCATATTTTAAGGATGAATGGGCAAAAGCGATAATAGATTCATCAGTGTTGAACATTCCTATAAAAAAAATTATAATAAAATTAATGATATATAACATATTTTGAATCAGTCACAAGAATATAATGATCATTGATTGCTAACTACTGATAAGCTGACTAATTTGACTCAACGCAGAGTCAGAAACTTTCGTGATAGAAGTAAACATTTTTTGCAGCAAACTATCTAGATAACCCAAAATGCCTAGTCCAAGAAGACAAAAATATTGCTCATATTTTCTCAAATGAGCTATCAAGTGAGCTATCATTACTAAGGTATTTAGTTGTTAGCTATATTAGAGCTCAACTTTTGTCAAGAAGATTATACTTTAGGAAGCTGGGTTATAGTAAAATCAAAGGAGAAGACAGAAAAACCTCAGTGGAATACGTAATTTGAAAACTCGTTAATACTAAAACAATAATATTCAAAAGTATACATTATAAGACAAGAAATTCTGATTTCCTGAAATGTTTTTGTCAAGCCTTTGTTGACAGTTGGTGTGTTAAGAAAAAAAAGGACACGACTAAATGGAATGCTTCAATTGTAACAACATATTAGATTTTTTATCTAAGGGTAATTCAATCGGTATTGATAATCCTTTTTTTATTGGTTCCCGTTTTCCTCCTAACTATATTCACACAATAACTATATTCACACAATACATTATATTTTCATTCAAAAATCCTAAAATGTGCAAACTGTGATTCATTTTTATTGTATGATCTTTATGGTAGTAACTACATTATCGATTTGTTTCACCTGTGGAATGATTGAAAAGAAGTGACAAGTTTTTTTCACAATTCATATTCTCATTATTGATTCTTGTATGAGCCTTCGCAAAAATAAATTTATATAATAAAGTTGACTATGCATATACGTAAAACATTTACAGCAAGGACAGAAAGAATAATTATTGACATTTAACTAATATAAAAACAAAAAAAAACCATATAAGAGATACAACATATTATATAAATCCTTAGAGAAAATAATTTTTGGCTCTAATTTCCACTAAGATTTTTATTTGTTATGACTGGTTTCATTTTATTAAACCATTCTCAGTGTCACTCGTGAATGGTTTAATAAACCAAAGTGTATCCTAACAAAGATCTTTGTGGAAATTAGATAAAAGTTATTTTCACTTTCCTACTTTTTTACTTTCATATTTAATATGAATTTCCACAAAATAAATAGGTCATCAATCGAACAAAAAAAAAACAATATATTATCAAAAACCACAAGTTTATATTAAAAAATGAATCAAGGCATCACCATGGAAGCAGCCATATATTTATCTTTATTGTCGAAGCATTCACTAATGAAATTTTTTGATATTTTAATACATATATAGGATAAGTCCCTGGCAGCTGAAAATTGAAATTAGCATGTCTCATGAAAATCTGTAAAAAATATTTGTAGAGTTTCATATTAAAAAGACAATGTCAGATAAGGAGTTCGTGGATTACATGCATTTTTTCTAAGTTGACTATTCTGTGCATTTGTCATTAGTGTCAGTTGTCACATGAAGTTGAGTTTTATTTTATATGTGAAAGTCGTTTTCATCAGGTTCATTTTTCTTGATACTTTGTTGAAATGAGAAATAAGGTCGTGAACAATTAACATGACAACTGACATTAATGACAAGTACACAGAATAGACAACACGGAAAAAATGCACGTGCTTATACAGTTTGATTTCTTGGAGTACGAAAAAAGTTTTAATTAACAAAACAGGTTCTTGAGTTCTATTTTTGAAGTAACTAATATGTTGGTGAGGAGAAAAAAAACAACTTCTTTGAGTCCTTCAGATCCTTTAATCTTATTTTTTGTACCCTATGGGAATTCGAAAAATACTGTTTTTACAAATAAATTCAATAGTTGTTTTGAATAAGGAAATTCCTTCATAATAACCAAACTGTATATTATTTTAATGTGCAATCCCAAGCTCAAATTATTTTATATGCTCTGAAAAAAATTTTCATCTCAGCAACCCACATGGCATAATCACTTGAAGTGTGCTGTACAACTAACCCATGGAATACCATAGCCGAACTAAAAATCTTCACTATCAGGCAGGATTCAAACCTGCTCTCAGTACTTTCATGAGTAATACTTATCAAAATCACTGAATTATTGACTGGATTCCGATTATTGTAATAGGTATACAAATTCTGAGTACATGAAATTCATTAATCTCAATTATGTATTTAAAGTAATGAAAAAAAACAGGTTTCCACCATCGACTGATCCCATTATAAGATTAAAATACAATAGAAATATATCTGGAGTCAACTACTACAAGTAAATTATAGTCATTGTTACATTCTAACGCGTCAATGTAAAGAGTGCTGATTGATATTTATTTCAATGAACAAAACAACACCAATGAACAAAATTGTACAGATTGAAAATATCACCGGTCTTCTACTCACCATTTGAAAGACAATAAATATAAATCAAACGATTTTATGCTAGAATTTTACTAATCCTACAAATTGCCGAATTTTGATCATAATTGGTTCTATAAAAAGGAATTTCGAAAATATTCTAATTTCTGTATTTTCTCGGATATACAGAAAGAGTATAAATCCCAATTCTTTCCACAGAATCAATAAAGAAAAATGGAAAAATATGTTTATTGTCCTGAGAAAACAACTTCCCGTCGGTAAACGTTTTTGAATTAGGGCAAAAACAATACAAAATAAATCACTAAAATCTTATCTATATAAAATCGAGTACAATTTATAAAATGAGCTGTCTTTGCAAAATTCATTCATCAATCAGAGTATCGCTGAATTTTTTCCTGAAAATAATCAAAGAATAACTTTTCAGGCTCATGAGAATTTGATTGTACATTTTTATATAGCCAATATAGCCGTTTACAACCTTTCGCAAAAATATGAGGACGGTAGTCTGGTGGGTTGACGTGGGTTGTTTGTTCTAGTCCCTCAATGGACCGCTATGCGAACCTATGGTTCGAACCGCAAGGCCGGATGATCGATTTTCACTTCCTATCGTCCAACCCTTGTTAGGAATCACACGTTAAAAGGTAAGACCTCGCTAATCCTCGAACAAGTTTCTACTTTTGAGAGTTGTCGTTCGAAGGGGGGCGACAGCTGATTAACGGAAAAACAGATTTTAAACTGATTTTCTTTTCTCTATTGAAATCTGATTTGTACTCAAGTATGGATCTTGGTACAGTATACGACTTTTATAGAATCAACAAGCTATGACTATCCTTCACACGTTTTGAAGGATGGCTCTGAAAAGAAGTCATGAACGAAACTTTAGACTTTTGGCAATTTCTGAAGTCTGGCAATGGTAAAGTGTGGTATGAGAACTATTGAAACAGAGGTCCCATTTCAAACATCCCATTGTCTATTCCAGTCATTAATGTGTTCCAAATCAATAACCTCAGATTTTTCAAAACAATTTCCAATTTCAAAAAATCTAATTCAGTATACAGAATTTCTTGTACACATTGTTCTAAAACATATATAGGATAAACATGGTAAACATCTAAAACTCGCAGTCGATGCATTACTTCGCATAAGAGTTACTGTAGACGAAATGTTAACTGAAAATGTTAATTCAGAGGATCATAGAATGAATTTTGAAAACCCACATATAGAGAAATTATTACAACTAAAAGAATGTTTTTAGAATATCGGTGAAACCAATTTGCTTGGTTAAATGCGCGTCGAAAAGAGTGCTGCAATTCTGATGTAAAAAAAACAATAATTGTATTGAATTCATTTTACGCTAGAGATACAAATTCTAATTTTCAATTTGGTTTCTGCTGGATATTGAATCCACTTCAAAGATCATCAAAACAATATTGGATTTAATGCTAGTCATTGCACAATAATGAAATAATGCAATGAAAAACAATTCCTTTCCATCAGTTTCTAAACAAATTTGCATTGCATTGTTTACGACATCAAACTCAAAAATACATTTGGCAATTCTGATAACTTGGTTGATATGTTGAATTATTCAAAGATATTGAACAAACAATCCTTGAATGTGGTGAAGTGTTTTTTTTACTTAAAAATAAAAATTAATTTGTTAAACAGCTGATAAAATGATAACAACTGAAAGATATCTACTTTATTGAAATAACACAAAAATATAGAAGGCTATCGAAACTTTCTATTTTTCAATGTGGTTTTGTGTCTATGTGATATTTTTATCAATATGGATGAAGGTTAAGAACCTGTGTGAAGATTCCAAATTTACCAAAATATGTGACGTAGAGGAGATTCAATTCACTTTTTCACATATAGTAACACTTTCAATCATTACAGTCTTTTTTATGTTGAAATGTTCATTAAAATTATTATTGTTATTTTAGTGGCTAATATTTAGATTATACACCTAATAATGATAATAACAAATGTAAATGAATAAACAGAGATGGCCATCTTACATCTGAGGCCTTTGGTGAGTTGCACTATCCAGCCAACTAACAGATTGATGTAAGTGGCAGTTCTACCCTTCTGGTCGACTTGGTTGAACAGCAGTGCTGCATCATGCCATCTGTTCTTACAGAAAAGGCAAGTTAACAGCACGTTGTACAACGCCGTTCAAGCACTTTCCCAACCTGAAAGGTGGAATGGCGCCTCTTCGGTTTGGAAACTTGAAGGGCGAAAACACAAGATGAATGTTCAGATCAAGTCGGCGAGACAATATCTCATATTTGATTTGTGGTGGACTACAGGACAGCCAAAAGGCCATTCAAGCTAGCTGCGAGGCGAAGTACCGCTAAACTAAAACTCACACTTTGAGTCAAAGGGTGTTGTTGAACCACCAAGCAGCATTGCCTTGATACAATGAGAATGTTAACGGTTGCTGAAGGTACTCTTGGTAGTAGTGAGGCGAACGAGAAGTATCGCGGAAAATACCAAATTATGCAAGAATCCTTCTCGCGTATTTCAAAAGCCTCAATGTGTAGTAGAACAGCGGATTCCAGCTAAGTTTGTCGAGAGGCGGACCGTTCGTGAAAATAGAGATTTGTCTACTTGGTTGAACAGCAGTGCTGCATCATGCCATCTGTTCTTACAGAAAAGGCAAGTTAACAGCACGTTGTACAACGCCGTTCAAGCACTTTCCCATCCTGAAAGGTGGAATGGCGCCTCTTCGGTTTGGAAACTTGAAAGGCGAAAACACAAGATGAATGCTCAGATCAAGTCGGCGAGACAATATCTCATATTTGATTTGTGGTGGACTACAGGAAAGCCAAAAGGCCATTCAAGCTAGCCGCGAGGCGAATAACCGCTAAACTAAAACTCACACTTTGAGTCAAGCGGTGTTGTTGAACCACCAAACAGCATTGCCTTGATAGAATGAGAATGTTAACGGTTGCTGAAGGTACTCTTGGTAGTAGTGAGGTGAATGAGAAGTATCACGGAAAATACCAAATTATGCAAGAATCCTTCTCGCGTATTTCAAAAGCCTCAATGTGTAGTAGAACAGCAGATTCCAGGTAAGTTTGTCGAGAGGCGGACCGTTCGTGAAAATAGAGATTTGTCAATTCCATAGAATAACCAACCAATAGCATGCTTGAATTCGTACTATCAATTGTTTACAGTCATCTTATACAGTGCTTTTCTTTAATGCTCCCCCCCCATTTTATTTTTTGAACAGGTCAACTCAAATAATTTTAATTTGGGATAATGAAATTAATGCATGAATACTTTATTTTGAAGTGAAATTGACAGATGAAACCTTCAAGATGGCGACTGGGCACCATCTGGGAAAAAAATTAAATGGAAAGGAGGGTCTTGTGACGCATTATATGAAGTCAATATCTTCACCTACTACAAAATGGCGGAACTTTTAATAATTGCCTGCATACATTGACATTCAACTACATAATATGAGGTAATAAGCTTGAGGTCAGTTCAATTTTTCCTTCCAATGGACGAGAATTGACCATTTTAGAGATTGTCGACGTGGTACCTTTCTACTAGTAAAACCGAAAACTAAATGAGAATAGTGAAAAAAAAAATTTCTGTTTTTTCGTTAACCAGCTGTCACACCCCTACGAACGACAACCCTCAGAAGTCGAAACTTGTGCGAGCTAAGGATTAACGAGGTCTTACCTTTGAACGTGTGATTCCTAACTGAACAATGATATTCATTGTCGTACTGACATTTTTTGTCGTTTTTATAAACAAAAAATAACTTAACAAACCTTATCGAGTTGTTGGAATTGTCATATGGCAGATAAAAAGGAATATTTCTAGAAATATCGATACTAATGCGCCTGTCTTCAAGAAATCATTAATGTTCCTCCATTTTGTATTAGGTGAAGATATTGACTTCATATTCTAGGGTTGTGAAGTACTCGTCAGGAGCTTCAAAATGATGTGTCACAAGACCCCCCTTTCCGTTTATTTTTTTCCCCAGATGGCGCCCAGTCGCCATTTTGAAAGTTTCATCTGTCAATTTCACTTCAAAATAAAGTATTCATGCATTCATTTCATTACCCCAAATTTCAATTTTTTGAGTTGACCCGTTCAAAAAATAAAAGGGGGGGGCATTAAAGAAATGCACTGTACGCACAAATACTCTTCGCAGTTGACCCAACATTTCAATGAGTATATGAGCAGAGAGGGTCAAAGACGGATGTGGCTGGCTGCAAGGAGAAACTGATCATCGATAGATGTATAATGCAGGACTCAATGCAGTATATGCATAATCTCTCTATGGCCTAAATCAATTACCACAAGGCATTCAAGACAACGTCCCATGAGCTATTTGAGCATTTGCTCAAATGCCTTTTAGTAGCCAACCAAATAGTTAGATGTCTCCAACAACTGAATAAAACTCATCCCTAATGATACTAACAAGGTTAGCAAAACGCGCGTCGAGAGATAGTATTTCTGTTCTGGCGAGGAAAAGGTATTTTTAATGGATTCATGAGCATTACTTGCAACTACTGAATTAAGACATTTCCTATAATATTTATAACGATGTAGATAATGTACTAAATACTACAAAATAATTCGGAAGATCCTAGGTAGCAGTCATCACACCACTCTCCTCAGCAATTTACGGTATTGATCAGAAAACAAATCGTTGGGCGAAGCGAAACCTGAGTAAATATGTAAATACTACGACCAACGATTTCATTATTATTTTTTTTATCTGATCAATATTGTAGATTGCTAATACGAGTGGTGTGGTGACTGCTACCTAGAACCTTCCTAATTTTTTTTTCAGTTTTTAGTACATTATCTACATCATTATTATTTTTTAATAAAACCGTTTAACATAAAAATATTATGTTCAAGTTTTTAGTTTCTGATTTCGTTACTCATTCTGTTTAGTTCATTTAGTGCCTCAGACTTCAATTACTAATTTGATCCAAACAAACACAAACAAGCCAAGTTAAATAAAAACGTTCAATTAAGAACAGATCCATCACTTGTTTGATCACCAAAAAAAAACAGATTTGTCACAATGTTCGACACTTGTCACAATATTCATGTTTTAAATGGCTTCTTTCCTTGATCCACCAAGTTATATTGAGCATAACATTTTCAAATATGACTGAAAATTTGAATGAAGATCGTTGGGTCCAAACTGGGACTTAATGGGTGACTTGTAAGTGGTCATGAGGTTGCTCAGATGTGAATCCTTGTGTTTCTCATCGACAATTCACCGTTTGGGTATTTCGAGATGAACGAAACTGTAATTTTATTTATTTTATTGATATGGCAACAGCTCAAGAGCTGATTTAACATATATAAAGAATTACATAGCTCATAATATTTGCACATAATACTCATTTTAGCAACCGTATCATTAATAAATAATATAATTTCTATAATTCCAGTTTATAATAAAACTTCTATGTGGCTAGCAATATTGTAACAATGGTATAAAAAAGTGTGTTACGGATATAACAGTCTTTCCAACAGTTTTCAAATATTGAAATGATTTAGGGAGGACAGCTGAATATTTCAGTGTTTTTCCACATGAAAACTTTCAATCACCTATAGTTGCGTTATGACTGTTTTCTTTTCCTATAGTGATATTACAATGAATATTCAAAATGAGGTAGCAGCACTATATTCTGACGAGGTGATTGGGGTTATTTATTTATAATTATTATAATACGGTAATTATAGCTATTATCATAATATATCATAATATTTACATACTACATATGTAGTATGTAAATTTTGTGATAATTCTAACTCTACTATAATTTTAACGTGTTCCAGATAACCCAATCGTTTTTAAAACTCTCACTCTTGGTCATTTCTCTCATTGTCCATCTATACTGTATGTTGTAAACCAGAACAATACATTTTCATAAAACGTGACTCCTAATATTCTTTAAAATACATTTTCATTTCATATAATTTAAATATCTGACTAGTTTGAATTTTCGAATATTTTGAGGTAATTTTAAAATCCTTACTTTCTGACGTACAAGACTTCTTGTACGAGTAAAAAATTGTTTTTTATTTCAAGTTCTGTTTCTTAAGAACTGTGGGTCTTACAGATTCAGCTCATAGGAACTTTTTGTAACTATGCTCTACAACTTAATTCTTCCTTTTCCAAAGTTAATTTTTTTTCGAAGAGGTTCTTCTTTCTTCTGTATAGCATCAGTCTCTCAGGTGAGAATAAAAAAATTGACCAAAACTGAAATACCCTAACGAATAACTTCTGTATTTCTAAAGCTCATGTGAGTTACAATGGACCTTTTTAATTAGAATATAAAATCTATTTGGTGAAGACATACTCTTGAAATTGGGCATTTTAACTAAATTACATATCAAAGGAGCATTAACCTAACTCTGCATTGCTGATTTACCTTATATAACTTTTTATTTTCTTTAAAAAAGTATATGAAGACCCATATTCCAATCTTATTAGTAGGGTAAAATTCAAAAAGAAAAAGTAAAATTTCAAGTCTTTGAACCAGAAATAAACATTGACCAGTATAAAAATTGGCCAAAAAAGTTCAATAAAACATTATTGAAATGTATATTATTTAAATATATTTCTTAGAAGTTATAAGTAATTTTGCATATGATGTGAATGAATTTAAAAACATATATGTATCATGTATGTAACATGATTGAAATTTCTTTCTTTCATCCTTAATTTGAATCATTTACTTGAAACTATGTTTTATAAATGAAAAATTGGACCAATTTTTTTTAATATTCATTTGGGAAGAAAAATTGCCTGTGTGTCATAGATCTTGAAACTTTTTTCAAGTTAAGAAGTTGTTCATAATCTTCAGAAATTATTATACCTATTTAAGGCAATACTATTCTATGCATGACCCCTATCATTTTGCTTATTTATAACTCAACTTATATCTAAAACTATTTTTACTTATAAATGTAATTATGATTAAATATATAATAGAGCATAAAAAACTGCTTTTGAACTCACTGAGCATTATTAAAATTTGGTAGTTGTCATTGTAGAATGTAGGTTTAAGTATTTTCATCTTTTCTATTCCTACATCAATTGATAATTGTGTCAGTCAGAAGTGAGTGTTGAATAGCCTATGTTGCTGTAGGTTTGACCAAATCTGTATCTGACTGCATGAATAATTAATAAATGTACTCACCTAGAGCAACTCCTGGTCCCTTATATTCATGAACGGTATATTTTACTTCATCTCCCGAAGCAGGTGTGTATACCAATTCCAATTTTCCAGGTCCAGGAACCACAAAATCAGTGGCTTTATATTGATCAGCATGGGCATGTCTACCAATAATAATGGGTTTATCCCATCCTGTTACTAAACGTGGAATATTTTTACAAATTATGGCTTCTCTGAATACTGTTCCACCTAATATATTTCTTATGGTTCCATTAGGAGATTTCCACATTTTTTTGAGTTTAAACTCTTCCACCCGTTTCTCATCTGGAGTAATTGTGGCACATTTTATACCAACATTGTATTTTAGAATTGCCTCTGCACAGTCAACTGTAACTTGGTCATTGGTTTTGTCTCGGTTTTCAATTCCCAAGTCGAATACTTTTAAGTCAATGTCCAAATAAGGTAAAATTAACTTGTCTTTAATGGAATCCCAAATTATTCTGGTCATTTCATCTCCTAAGATGTCTACTACAGCTCCTGCTCGAATTTTACCCATTTTTACTAGAAGAATAAAAAATATATAAAATGTAATAATAATGTAGTTCCATTTATAGACACACCTACCTCACAAGTGAATAACTATTCTTGAATTATATTTGATTTTAAGTAGGGAAATTAAAAGGAAGAAATAGAGCGTTTATTTGAAACCCAGACTTCGCGGTGGCGACTAAAATTGAAAACTGACACGTATTTAATCAAGTTCAAAGTACCACTTACCAATCTGTTTTGAAAGTTTGAACATTTATCATTTATCAATCGGCGTTTAAAATTCTGTGGTTTGGGGTAGGGATACGAGTAACCTTGGAAAAATAATTATTCATTGTCACTATTATTACATACAGTGTTGCCGTTATTTTATCTAGTCAAACAACGGATGCAAATGGCTGTTCTCATAACATTTTTTTATGAAAGTAAGGAAGCTGCAACAGAGATTGTTGAAGCAGTGGACCGCAATCCTAGTCGTAAAGGTTTTCTGAATGAATGAATAAATTAATATTATTTAATAAAAACTTTCGTTTATTTTATTCCATATAAACATGTGGCTTGTTGAATAAAATTTCATAATTAATCTTTACAAGACACCTCACTTCACTACTTTTGTCTATCTTTCATTTTTCAAATGATGTAAAACAATAATCTTGAACTCTGTACTATTTTGTATCTGTATCAATGTAACGTAAACTGTCGTACATAAAAACCGATTACGCTTAGTGAGGCGTGGCAGTATTTTGTCATTTATGTAATATGTATCACCGTATAGAAGTAAAGTTCTATAAACTACCATAACCATTGTAATAGTCGACTTTGAAGTTTATTAAAGTACTTTAAAGGAATACCTCTACTCTTTTGAATTGGATTGTCGTTTGGAGGTACCTATATAATATAGTGTAACCCCAACAGAGGTTATGTAGTTAGTAATCTTTGGCAGAATTGGGGTGAAAGTAATCAGGTTCAATTCAATGCCACAAAATCCCAGGCTTCATAAAGCTCAGAGATCAGACCTTCTTTGGAGTATTGTTGTCATGTATGGAGCTACGCCCCTTAGCATAGACTGAAGCTGCTAGATTCCATTCAGATTGGAGACACGAACATTACTTGCAACCTTGATAATCTGGAACATCGAAAAAAGGTTTTGGAGATTTGTCTCTCTGCTATAGATACTTTCACGGGAAATATTCAAGTAACTTTTGGCACATTTGATTCGACCAAGAGTGGTACATATCAGAAATACGCGACGGACTGTGGCTTCTCACCGTTTTGAGGTTCAACTCAGTACACATCGAACTTCACTGTTTAAGAACTCTTTCATTTGGAGAACTGCGCTCGAGTGGAATAATTAGATTTAGTCTCCAGCGATTCAAATCCAATATGAATCGCTACTTTCGCACAGGCACCGCTCTGAGAGCGCCTTGAGGATTTTCCTGTAGTGCTTGTGTGTTGTCCTCAAAAAAAGTGGGAATATAGAGGTGTTCAAAGATTGTCGAATATTTTGTTTATTTTATATATAATGTAACGTATCGCCCGTGGGTTTGACAATAATTGACCACTGCACAAATAAACTCAACTTTATTTCCCTGCTACACTGACAATGCAACACAAACACTTCAACAGAAACTAATATTGAAATGTCTATCGCCTTATTAGATCACTTCGTACCGCACTTTCAACTAGACTTGCCATATCTGCCTGTTAGTAGTGCTTATGTATCGTGATGGAAGTCTCTTGAAACACATATATATCTTCTTGAAGCGACGGGACACCTCTAGAACAATCGAGAAACGCTAGTCGAGTTGAGAGCGACCTTGGCCAAGTCACAATCGATTGAGGAAGAGCAGCGGTGGCCGGCGTTATGTTTTTTCCGATTGATAGTTTGAAATTGCATAATTCCTGGAGTTAGTAACAAAATTTCGAACAGAGTAAATTGCGGGAAAACCTATTACTGACCTTGTACCTAATTTACCATGTTTTAGAAGGAGATTGTCGCTTCCACCCTTTTGGTTAGAACATTTGTAATGGAAAACCGCTTGCCTTAATATTTTATTGTCAAATATCATGTACGGCCCACTCCTCGATTATTCTAGAAGTCTCAAACTTAGAATGAACATTTTTGGTATTTGAAGTTTTTTTTATTTGCATTTGAACTGTTTTACTTTATTTCTTGGCGGAATTTCAATTGTCGATATTTCAGTTGCTTTTTTTTGTCAGAATTATACAAGACTTTCTTATTAATAATAATTACTCTTCTTCATTAGTGAAAAAAGTTCTAATTGAAAATAGACAACCTACACTGAAAACAAACAATTCAAAATATTTTTAAATTCCGTATGTGCATAACCTTTATGAAAAACTTGGATCAGTTCTAAATAATGAACACATCAAAATTACGTTTGCAAATGCTAACTAACACTGTAGGAAAAATATTTTTTTCAAAACAAAAACTGCGATAAATATGCAATCAAACGTCATTTATAAAATTAATTGCAAGGATTGTCCGAAATGTTATGTAGGACAAACGGGACGTTACCTGAGAAACAGGTTGTCTGAACATGAAAGAGATACAAAAAAGTTGAATATTGCTAAACCAACAGCCCTCTTTGAACACACAAGAGAAAACAACCACAGTTTTGACTTTGCAAACTCTTATATTTTAGATGTTCAACCTTCGTTAGGTAAACGAACGTTTAGAGAGATGATCCACATTCTCAAACAAAAAAGTGTTGACACTAGAAGAGACATAGAAGGACTGAACAGTGCTTATTTCAATTTGTTAAATCGGATTCCTTAACAGTTTATCACAAATAAGTTTCCATCATAAATTTAAAAAATGATCAACAAAAAAGTCCAATTTTAATCAGTTGTCTCCCTTGATAACGTACTCATTTTTTATGTATCTGTGGTTGTACGAGTTTTTTTTCTTGATCTTCTTCATCTTCATCCTGAGTACATGTAAACTGCGTTAATAGCAATGTATCGCATGTCACCTCGTTGGAATCAAACGGATCCTCCACTGTTGTTGATACAGTATTAGATTATTAGAGCACGACCGGCCTCGACAATGTGTACATGGCAGAGAACAAAACAGTTCGGCTTTTTTGCAACCACATTTAGCACTGCACCCCTTTCTGCAGTTGCAAAAAATTGTGTTCAACAATTTTTTCGGCGCAGGTGAAAGTAAAGTTTGGAGTGGTTTTAATGAATTGTTGACCAACTTCCAATCCCAATCTGTAGGGTCTAGCTGATAACCAAAAGCCACACTTGAAATTGGTAATATACCCGAAAAAGATGTAGATGAGAAGCAACTGAGATTAGAGGAAGACAAGGTAATTGTACTTGTTTTTTACTGTTGGTATATTTAACGAAACATACATATCTATACTTATCTAAGCAGGTAGTTTTTTTAGGAGCTCCGTACATAGAAAGAAGAAAGCGAATGCCGTTAGTGATAATTTCTCGTCGAGTTGAATTACTATTTATAAAAACTTCAGCACTCTGAACTAAATTGTGTTTTTCAAACATTTTGAAAACTGTTATTTCACCCGTCCTGTAAAATGCAGATGTCGTATCACAGCCAGTTTTATTGCGTGTAAAAATAGTACATGATTTTGACACTTTTGTTTTGACATTTTATATTATACCTAAGTGTAAATTACAATGACCGATAGAAAAATATTTTAACATATATTATAACTACAGAGATGTATATACGTGGCGTACTCATGCATATTACGACGATTACAACTTTTTGAATCGTTATATCTCGAATTTTTTGTAGATAATTTTATGATCTACAATTTTTGTCTGAAGTGTTTTTACGATAAAACTTACCGTTTTGCTGAAAATCGCGAAAAACTCATTTTTTTGACCTTTGACCTTGAATAAAATTTTTTCCCTACAGGGGAAAGGTGGGAAACTTTCAAATTTTATTTTTAATCAGTCTTACTGATTTTCAGCTTGGTGGGAATTTAGGTAGCTTTCCTTATTTTTTGGTCTAATTTAACCGGACTATAATGTTTGGTGAGTCCAACTGTTTGTTTTTTTTTTCTTTCTTGTTCACAGAATATGAGATTAGTTAACACTTTATTAATTTGCAATATGTATTGGCATGTATACTATATTTCCTTATGAAATTATTTTATTTTAGAGCCCCGATGATGGATTTAATGCAGTCCGAAACGTTGCCAAAAACTGAATTGTTCATCTACGAAGAATTTTTTATCCCTTTCCTAACTAATAAGCATTTGAAAATATTATTTGAATCACCAAACCTCGCGAAGTTATTACCTAATTATGTCGAAACATTCAATTGTGCTCCTGATTCCTATTATTCTTAGAAGTATTTCACAAAGAAATACCTAACTCTTATCAGGTAGGGATTCATATAAAAACTAGGATTCGTTGTACCCTAGACGGAGCATGTTGCAGTTTATTTTACTTTAAACGTCATGGCATGTGCATGTAATACACATGGCATGTAATACATGTAATGCATGTAATACACATGGCATGTGCATGTAATACACATTATAATGAAGTTTCAATTTTGATTTTCCAGCAGTAACATTATCAAGTCACAACCCTATCGAGAGATGTTAGGGTTTACTTTAAACGTCATGGATATGCATATGTGCATATATTCATTATAATGAAGTTTCTATTTTGATTTTCCAGCAGTAACATTATCAAGTCACAACCCTATAGAGAGATGCTAGGGATTAAGATTCCAATTATAAATATAATAAGTACGTTATTCCAACTCATGTTTTTTATGTACCGTTACAAAAATATTTTTGAACAATTTATAGCTCAAGACTTTTTAATACTATTCATCTAAGAGGAATATATTGGAAAATATGGAAAAAACCTTTTGAATTTACCTATTTCATTGGGAGAATGCCAGGGATTAAGAATCCCATGTGAGTACAATAATGTGATTAAAAGTTTTGGTCCACCTTGTGTTTTTTTCATGTACTACCACAAAAATGTTTTTGAGTAATTTTTGTATTATTATGTGAAATGGAAAATAAAGACGCTATTATTATCATTAATATTACTATTTCTCCCTAAGTTACACTGGTCGCGCCCTGTCCCAGGAGCACCGATACCTTAGGAAGGGCGTCAGCATTATCAACCAATGATCACTCCCCGCACCATAATGTTAGTGATCAATGGATCCGAGGATCATGTGCCCCAAGCAGACGCAGTGAGCCAAGAATGACAGACTTCTGCATTTGTCCGTAGATTACTGCCCTAGTGAGGCAAGCCAGCATGATGTGGTAGAGACATCATGCCACAGAACAATCATATTAACATAATAGTGTAGATAGAGTCTGGCTTGTTCTGATGGTCGAATTAGCTTGAACGAGCCTGAGAATGGGTAATGAATAGTTTCAATAAATATAATCATTAAAAATATACATCATTACATGAAATTATAAAACAACAACAAAAATTAATTGGCGCTCCCGGGCGACTTCATTGATTCCAGTGGCACATTTGCTTTTTCAGCTGCAGGAAAACCCGGAAAAACCTGCAGCACCACATCATCTGAAGCTCTTGGTCTGCCAATGTCCTCTCTTTCATAAAACAAAATGTAGATGTCTTCAGAGGCTCCAATAAATTCAATACATCGTCAGAACATTTAGTAATACGACTATCGTCAAACTTAAACCAGTCCGTTTCGTCTTTGACCAAGGCGTAATAATGACCAGATTCAACGCCAGAACCACAGTGAACAATGACTGCATGAAGATTATAATAGTGGTCTGCTAGATTGAAGTGTTCATCTATTTCGAACCTTCGTAAGAGTTTGGTGCTTCCGTCAGAGGTTGAGTCATGTTTGAAGATCATCAGTGTTATTATTAGATTGACTGGTGCCTCAGCTATACTTGTTTTCTTATAACAGTCAGTTAGTTTGGCGCATTTTTGGAAATGCAGTCGATCATCACCTGTTAAAAGTTCCATTTTCAAATGATTTAACAATAAGCTTTGCACGGACTGGTTATTAGTCATATTAGGAAATGCTAGTTGAAGTTCCCGAAATTCACATACGTTTTTGCTATCTCTTGAACATTTACTACAAAGTAAACAAGTGAGGATTTTTCCAGCAAAAAATTTACAAACACAAGACGAGGTAGACTATATTATTACATTAATGAAACCCAGTTCAATGAAAGTTCACTCAAGCAGGTACGCTGTCTGTTGAAAAAATTGAGCTTTCTGTAACTGTTTGAAATGATTTTTTAATATAGGGAATGTTCCATGAAAATGACTCAAAAATCAACTCGGAATTTCAAAACTTTCCTAAAATACAGGAGGTTCCATTTGAAAAAACTGAGTTTTGGCCCATATTTTCATATCAACAAATCAGTAATTTAATGAAGTATTTTGTTGAATCAATAATTGCTTTTGTTTGAAGGTGATTGACAATGTTTCATGATGAATTTCACTAGTTCGGACTTCCATTGTCTACTATATAAAATGATTTGAAATCCCTGAAACAAGTAAAAAAGAAT